TACTCCATTGCACGTTGCAGCGCTGGAAGGCAATGAAGTGATTGTGCGCGTGTTAATTTCGTTTGGTGCGGATCTCATGGCTGTTGATAATACGGGACGGACCCCACTTGACTGGGCTGCCGCCAACCGTCACAGCAGCGTTTGTCACTATTTGATGAATGTTATTCAACGTCTTATGCTTACGCAGGAACAGAAAAAGCCACAAATACAAAGGAATAATGATGCAGAATCAGTGGAATCCACTGAAAAAAATGTTCAACGAAATACGAGTTTTGGTGTGAGCTCCACAAACAACTCAATGATGCAGTCAACGCATTTGACGTCAGCATTGCGAGAAAGTACATGTTCACTGCCTACGCCATCGCTACCACTGGATTCCGAGATTGGAAATGAACAGCAAAATGAGCATGGTCTTTTATCTTCATTTTTGACCTGTCTCCCGCCTGACATGATCTCATTGATGCGCTCACGATCTGCATTATCCGCTAATCCTATTGAAGCTCCCCTGCACGAAGACGAAAGTGAATTTGAGGAGCAGGGCACATTGTCCAATTTTTCAAGCTACACAACCATTTCCGGTACGGTGCCTCTTGTTGTTTGCATGGTAGGTTTACCGGGACGCGGTAAATCGTTTATTGCCCAACGTATCTCACGTTACCTCAATTGGAAGGGTGTTCCTTGTCGAGTCTTCAATGCAGGCAATTATCGCCGACGGCTGCTTGGTGTTGAGGGAACTTCGGACGCCGGTTTTTATGATCCAAACAATGCAAACGGAAAGCAAATGCGTGAGAAAATGGCAGAATTCGCATGTGAAGACCTCGTGGAGTTTATCTCCCGCCATCGTATTGCTGTGGGTGTGTTTGATGCCACCAACACCACAAAGGCACGGCGAGAACATCTGGTGGAATTTTTTAACAAGGCTTTCAAGCAACGCCATATGGAGAGTCGTGTCATGTTCATTGAGTCGATCTGCAATGACGACACGATTATCACTGAAAATATTCTCCGTGCAAAGTGCGACAACGACGACTTTAAGAACGTTGGAGACACAAGCAAGGTGATTGCTTCCTTTCGTTCTAGAATTTCAGAGTACGAGAAAGTGTACGAACCACTGGACCGCGCCGATGATTTAAGTTTTATTCGTATAATTGACGTGAAACGACACGTTGTGATGAAAAATATACCGTGCGGTCTGGCAAGCAGTATTGCGTTTTTCCTAATGAACCTGCATCCAGTTGCCCATCCCATATATATTTCCCTCCCTGGTGAAACGGAAGGTGAAAAGAATCATATGTATGGTGGTGATGAGCATCTGACGCCGCTTGGAAATAAATTTGCATTGGCACTGAAGCGTTTTATTTTGGAGCGACATTTCCCACATATGATCGTGCTGCACGGTACAAACCACAGTGTGCTGAACACTCTGAAGCCACTTGCACAATCCTTGCAAGAGGACAGTGGGGATGGTGCGGATAAAGTGGAAGAAGAAGAAAACAGCGCCTTTAGCGGGATTACATGTCAGGAAGAACTTCTCTGCCCATTACCGGGTCTTGATAGCATAAACTACGGCTTGTTTAGTGGACGGACAGTACAGTGGGTACGAAAGCGGTACGCAAAACTTTCACGGCTTCTGTACGTGGCATCTCCGGTGTGTGGTGATGAATCTGCGCTTAATTTATATAACTCGAAAAAGTTGTACGCTGTTGATGTAGATGATAAAAAGAAGGGGATAATTGAGACACATGAGTATCCAAAGAAGCAGGATCAAGGGGAAAAAGACGCAAGAAAACAGCATTTTGACAAAAGTGCTCGGGCAACTAGCCGTTTCCTTCATGTACCGAATGGCACAGACCCTCGCTTATCGTACTGTGTGCAGTTTCCGAATGGTGAAAGTTGTAGACAGGTGAATGTTCGACTAGAACCAGCGCTTATGGCGGTGATGCGGGTTCAAGGGCCAGTCTTTGTTGTCGCAACCTCAGTACCTGCACAAGGCGTCCTTGCTTTTTTCACGGATACCATGCCAGAGGTGTCGCCAACTCTGCGTTTGCCACAGCACGCGGTGGTAGAGATTGGTGTCAAGGGAGAAATCACAGTGCATCAGCTTGTAGAACCCGTTGATCATGTCCCCCAACCTGGATCCATAAGAGAGGGCCGATAATGAGATAAATATGTATGTTTAAATGCAGGCATGTATGTACACACACGTGAGGGTGATGATTGGGTAAGCGTGAATGGGGTGTTAATTTGAGAGGCGTAGGAAAGGAAAAAAAAAAAAAAAAAAGAAACAGTTGTGCATCCAAAAGCACAATGAAACGCGCTTTTTGTTAGTTTTTGTTGTTGAAGTCTTTTTGTGTGTGTGTGTGTGTGTTGTGTGTTGGTGGTGGGAGTAGGTTTATTTTGTCTTTGTTCTCCCATGGGCATGCTATTCCGCTACTGTTTTTTTTCCTCTTTTGTTTTTCTCTTGTCATTTGATTGTGTGCCTTTCCTTTTTGGCGTTTTGGTTTGCTGTTGTTATTCATTTCCTTGTCTTGAAATTTCTTCTCTTGTTTCCGGTGCAGGCTTCACTCTTCCAAATCAGCTGCCTTCTCTGAGGCAATGTTGGCACGATCCAAATAGGAGGAGCGGAGGCTGGATGTTTCCAGTTGTTTCTGTCTTGTTGTTGTTACCTTCCGCTGTGTTTGTTGTCCTGCCACACCATGTCGACTTCTCCCCATTTTGTTGCTTTGAATATTTGCCTGCGCCCATATTTTTCTTTTCCTTTTTTATCTTTTTTTTTTATTTATTGTGTGTGTTTGCGAGTGTGGTTGTGGTTTGTCGCGGTTCTTAATTGTGAATAGTTGATTGCCTGCACCTCGCATCCAATTAACTCCACTGACGCGGCGTTATTTTTCTCCCTCTCTCTTTTGTGGGAGCGACCACAGGCACACGGTAAGGAGGCTGCAGCGGTCATGATCATATTGGAAAGGACTCCCATGACAAATGGCGAGGTGTTTGCGCTGCTGCGACGACGGCGCGACGAGCGAAATGCGAAGGCGCAATTTCCATTTGGAATGCAGTTTGTGGGAAGCAGCAACATGTCGCAGATGCAGCAGCAACGGGTGTCAGCCTCTATGGCAGCGAATGCGTCGGCACACACGAGTCTTTTTTTCCCACCGGAAGCACTTGTGTCAGATGCAAAGTTTTTCATTGTCAATGGAACAATTTCTGCAACTCCTCTTCCGAATGCGAATAATCATCTTCTCTTCTCTTCGCCAGCGGCTTCGCACCTTATGGTGTTGTTGACAGAGGTACGTGCACTACGATACCTTAGCCGGTATGCCACGATCAGCGGCCATAACAGTTTGAACGCTCTCTACGGCCCCACCAGTGTTCATACTCGGCGCTATCAGGAACTCGGTGCATTGGGTTCCGGCGAAAACTTGCCGCGTGCTCAGCGGCAGAGTGAAGAGAATGGATTCGATGCCTTGCCACCGCAAGCAGGCGAGGCCCCTCGGGAAATCAATGCTGTCACAAAAACGCAAGAACAGGCGTTGACGCAGCTGGTGAGGCGGTATCGCCCGGGCACTGTGGGTCATGTGCGTGCGGTCTTGGCTCTTCTTGGAATTTGGGAAACGAACGGACGCGAGATGGAGCGTCAGGGCTCAACAAGAGTGAAGTCGGTGTTGCGTGCAGTGCGACAGAGGCTCAGCGACTCCGCTCGGGGAAACGAGGAAATCTCCATTGTGCACAATAACGATAAGGACAATCAGAATGGGGAGCAACAACAACAGCATCTCCCTTCAGAGCAACTGCGCCCGTTGTTTACCCCGCCTTCTCTGCCGCTTGCAGTATTTCTTGCAGAACAACCGCCTGTGGTCACCGCTGCTGACACTTCTACAGAAAATTATCAGTGGACGGAACAGGATGTCATTCGGCTTGTTATGGCGCGGCCGCAAAGTAGCCTTGATGTGCACCGCGTCGTGGAGAATATTGAGGAGATTGTCGGCCATAACGAGGAGTTGTTGAACTTTTTCGAAGAGGAACTTGTGAAGGTGTTTCTGTAGGCTGCCGTTCCGTGTCTAGTGGGCGGTGGGGACGATAGCACGAGCACTTTTTGTTGCCGTTGTTTTTTTATTCTTCCACTCCCCCGTCCACACACACACGCAGAGAGACCCACAACACAGACAGAGTTTATCCGTTGTTTTGAGCTGCGTTGCTTTTCACCGATGAGAAAATTTATTGACATCCGTTTTATTCGAGATGAACCGCGGTGTTTTTTTGTTTTTGTTTTTGTTTTTGTTTATTTTCCTTTTTTTGTTTCTTTCCGCCTGTCTGCCTTTTTTATCTCTTCATTGTTCTTTGGTGCTTGCTGTCTCTTCTTCGACCCTTTAGTGTTGTTATTATTATTATTAGGAAATAGGTGGCTATTTATTTTATTTAACGTACATTTTTGTACAGTTTTCTTTTGCTTTTTTTTTTGCTTTTTTTTTTATTTTTATTTTTCCCCCCCTCTTTCTCTCATCCACCAATCCGTTGAATTTGGAAAGATTGTAAAATATTTATATTTACTTTTTTATTTTTATTTTATTTTTTTATTTTTTTATTTGGAGGGGTGGGGTGGGGAAAAAAAAAAAAAAAAAACTGGGTATCCGTGCCGTCACTTTAGCGGCCGACGCCGACGGATAATCCAGGAGGGGGAAAGAAGAAGAAAAAAAAAAAAAAGGAGTGGAGAAGGGGGGAATAACAAAAATAACAGGAGAAGAAGATACAAACCAACATATACATACATACATACGGATACGCATATATTTCACAGCGTTTTTGTATTTGGAAGCTGCTGCAGAGGATTCCTGATTTTTGTTCCAGCTATACCTCGTGTTGGTGCCTTACACCCCCTACCTACGGTCAATTCACCACGGAAGACACACACGGAGGCGTAAAATATACATATTTTACTAGCTGCTGTGTGTTAGCTTTTGCCTTTCAGAGGGTTCTACTTGTTTCATAATCCTTTATAGAGGATGTCTGAGACAAAAATGGTAAATAAGAGCAAAAATGGTATTCGTGAAAAACTCCACAGTGCCATTGCATGGCTTTTTACTCCCGGACACAAAAGTATTGAATATTGCAAGAACCAGGGCGAAGGAGATCATCAGGTCTCTGCTGCCGTGGATGGGTCCTCATCGTTGGCAGGTGATGGGTGTCCGCTGACGACGCCACGCTCCAATTTAAATGTAAAAATCAATCGAGAGGGTCTCCAGCAGGCGGCGGTGTCGGCAGCGACATCCCAACATGCAGGCGAACTCTCCACGCGAGCTGCTGGTAACAATCTCGATTTGGATTTGGATGCTACCTCAATTGATCACAGCGAGTTCTTTTCGTTTCTTGAGGACGTTATTGGAGGCAAACATGTTGAAATGCTGAAGGAGCTAAACCAATTGCACGAATCAAACTCCAATAGCAACGTGGAAGCCAACGCTGTTGACTCACCTTCTTCGGCTCCCGTAGAAAGTGGAGAAGGTTTTAGGGAAAGTGTTCTGAGGGCGTCCTCCTTTCTTGCTCCTTGTGTAGAAGCACAAGGACAAAGTGAGAGGATTTCGGAAGTAAAACAAGACACCTTAGCTAATAAAAAAGAGAGAGACGGCGCTTCTTCGGCTGCTCGCTCGCTCAAGGGCTATGAGCTCATTGCATATCTTGGTAAAGGCGCATTTGCCGAGGTTACTTTGGCACGGCACAAAGCAACTCAGAAGCTCTTTGCGCTAAAGAAGATATCAAAGCGAAAGGTGCGAGAAGAGGGTTGTGTGCAGCGTACCTTCACGGAACGTCAGTTGCTTGCGTCACTTAAGCATCCCTACTTGGTGAAGTTGTATCAGGCATTTCAGAGTCTTACGCATCTATATCTTGTTCTTGAATTTGCTCAGGGAGGAGATATGTATTTTTTTCTCGAATCGAAACCATGGCTGCGGGAGATGCGTCGTAAAGTTCAAAAATTGAGGAGGCTTTCCTTTTGCAGTGACACGGCATGCCCATTTCCAGGCGGCGCGCAAGACGAGTCTGATCCGACGTCGAATCACTCTTGTCCTCCTAAGCACTTGATTTCAACCGTTTCCTCTTTCAGTAGCACAATACAATTGGCCCCAGACCAGAGCCGTGCACCAATTCGTTTGGTCGCCTTTTACGCTATTGAGCTTGCGTTAGTACTGCAGTATCTGCATGATCACGGCTTTGTCTATCGAGACCTTAAGCCGGAGAATGTTCTTATTGCACGGGACGGCAACTTGATGCTTACCGATTTTGGTGTCGCGAAGTATTACGGCGGCACAAAATTGAAGAAATCGGGTGCTGAACGAACGAATAGTTTTACCGGTACGACACCATACATGAGCCCGGAGATGCTTCTTGGGGAGCCACAAGATGCCCGCATGGATTGGTGGAGTTTTGGTTGCATCCTTTTTGAAATGGCAACGGGACGACGGCCCTTTGAAGGGGAGAGTCAATATGCTGTCGTGCAGTCTATTGTCGAGCGTGATGTAGAAGTTTGCCAAGATGACTTTCTTCTCACATCGCTGGAAATAGAGAGACGTGTAATGCAATTGCAGGAACGGTACGAAGCATACTTGGTTCGAGTAGTAGAGCAGATTAAAAAATGCAAGGAAAATGGGAGTATGACAGAGGAAGAACGGACACAATTTAGTGGTTCCCTTGAGGACGCACAATTGACGTTTACTGTAGATGCAGCTTCCGCGCTACATGATACCAGCTCTTGTGGTAGCAAAAATTTACTTGGCGATGGTACACGAAGTTCGCTGGGTGAAGCATTTTGCCGCACCTTTGGAAGTGAAACACTGAACGCAAAATCTTCCATGACTATTGAAAATCAATCCCTGTTTATGAATTTTGCCGTGGGAGAGTTGGATGAGGCGTGTGATTTGTTAAAAGACCTTATCTGTTCACTGTTGGAGCGCCGTACCGACCGGCGCTTAAGTGGACCAGCGGTGCTCGAACATCCATTTTTCTCGTGTCCGTATGTCTGTTCCCAGATATATTACAAACATGATGCTCGCGTGGATCCCGGCGACATTTCTGGCTTTTACGTACCGACTAAGTGGAGAAACAGTTTTTCTTCAGGCGGTCACTTTGCAGAAGATGAGAAGAAAAATGAAAATGGTGAGAAAAATGACGGACATGATGCGGAAGATGATGATGGGGGCACAACGGAGCTTCAAAAGCATCTTGGTGCTGCGCGCTTCCTCGCCCAGTCCCCGACCCAGCGGCCGGACAACTGGCGCGAGCTCTTTTTGGAGGGAGTGGTGTCATCGTTGTATGTTCCCCGCCTCTTGTCGGCGGACGATCTGCGTTACTTTCCACATGCCGTGACGGCGACGGGGGATAGTGTTGTCACTCAGCAACGTGCTCTGCGGGAACAGATACGGAGAAAACACGGTGCGCTGCATCCACGCGGAGGTGAAGGCGACCACCAGGCTTCTCCCCTCAGCGTCACCCAGAAAGGAGGCCATCCGTTGCATCAAGAAAATCAAATGAGTGAAGAAGACGAGGATGTTGAGACTTTGCCACACTCGGCTTCACAGCGAAGCTCCTTGGTAGAGTCATTGAGGGGGAGTAAACATGCGGCTTTCGCACATGAAGAGCCATTATTTATGGGAGAAACAGTCAGCAGCTTGGCATTTCCACACCATGACAATTTCAGCGTCTACTCAGTTTCGAGTCTGGAGGTGTCACCTGCAAAATATCCGTCTTTTCTGGCAAAGTCATATGGCAGGTCATATAACAAAGAGTGTTGTAATGAAATTGGAAAAGAAACTGTAACGGAGCCAATGGAAGAGTCCTCTAATCGCCTAAAATTGTCGGCCTTGGACCTCTCTTATTCCACCTCAGCAGAAGCAGCAAAAGCAACAGCAAAAACACCGGAAGCAACGCTTGGAGGGGTTTTAGCGGAAGTGGCACCTTCCCTCATTTCTCATAGCTTTCCTTTGCAATTAGGAGAGTCACAGACTGCTGCCCACCAAGAGTTGCACCCCGACTTGGGTAGAGCGTACACAGCTCCATCGGAAATATTTACATCTACGCCCACCAAATCAAGGGATGCTTTACCTTCATTTAATTTATCCACTGGGAATTTAGGGGCAAGAGAAGTCCTATCGTCTGACACGTCTTATGTCACCACTGAGGATGAAGACAGCACTGGGAATGCATTTGACGATATCAAAGGTCAAACACAGGGGACACTTCATGGTATTGCGTACGATGTGGACGATTATTTTCCAAGTTGTACAAAACAAAAAAGACTGTTGTTAAAGAGTAAAACAGGTATTCCGACCCAAAGGCCATCTAAGACAAATAGGAGTATCGTTAGTGTACAGCGATTGAGGCGAAGTTTATTAGATAAAAGAGCAACAAAATTTTCTCGACAGTTGGTGGCGAGCGCGAGGGCATCGCCAACTGTTCCTCAGCAGCTCCCTATGTGTGCTTCATATGAAACATTTGCGTTCAAGAGTCCCAAAAAGAATTCCCACAAGACTGACAGCGAATATGATAACAGGAGATGCAGTGAAGACATGGAGGGCCGCCGCTTATCCCTTCTTTCAGTGTATTCCCCAATGTTGTACACCGCCACCGTCTCGCCAAGGTCACCAAAGAAAACGGAATTTTTAAATAGTGACTCTTTGGTCCACGAAACAAATATACTCCCAGGCCTTTGCAGTACGTCTCGGACGGGCGCGAATAGCGATTCAGTTGAGGAGCGCCCTAATTCTCCCACAATGGAGAGCTCTTCGCATCCTGGAAACGGTGGTGCTGGTACTAGCGTGCAGCACTACTTGGGCTTCACATTTGACTCAAGAGCCGGCAACGCCTTTCTCCTGGGGAATACATCCAACGGCGGTAGCAACGACAAGTGGTGTTTTTGAAAGAAGGTCCGTTAGTCGATGAAGGAGTGGGGTGAACAGAAAGGGGTGCACCGGCCTGGAAAGGGAGAACTTGAGGGAGTAGCGAAGCAAAAGATATATAAAGGCGAGCGGATTTTGTATCGTTTGTGTAATTGTGTCCGTGGAATTCGGACATGCAACCAATTAAAGACAGGCAAAAATATGACAGCTTGGCAGACAAATGGGCACATTTTTTTGAGGCAAGTCTCTTTGCTTCTTCTTCTTCCATATCAACATGACGGATCTAAGGATCCTTCCCCCCCAACCAGGAGAACGGGGAAAAAGGGGAACGCTCTGTTTTTTTTTTCTTTTTTGCTTTTTTTTTTTTTTTTTTGTTTGCATGCGTGTTGTTGTATCCCTTTATTTTTCTACCATGAATTTATTTGAGCTCAACGATTTTTATTTATGTATTCCCATTTATCTGTCGTTTTTTTTTTTCTTTTGGCTTTTCGTGGATCATCTTCCGTCATTGTTTTTCAAGTCGTTTTTTTTTTTTTTTTTTAGCGGGAGTTTGTATACGTGGAATGGCTTTTGTTTTGTGTTGACGTGTGTGTGTGCCGTTGTTTGCTTGTTTCTTATCTTGCTATGCCATGAAAAAAATTTTTTTGTTGCTATTGACGCCATTTGGTGTTTGCACCGCGATGATCAACAACCCACCATGAATGTAACAAGACGAGGGGAGTGTGGGAAAACGATAACAAAAGGCCCGCTACACTGCCCATGCCTCTCAGAGTGTGCGTGTGTATTTGAGTATATTTATTTCTCTCTTTTTTTTCTTTCTTTCTTATTCCATGTATGTACGCATATATATATATATATATATATGCATGCTTCTGTATGCACTGACTTTTGGTTTTTGCGTGTATACGGCACCGGATGTGAGCTCCGTGGGGTGTGCTTTTACTGATGGCGGCAATATTCCTTTTTAACGGCGTCATCGAGAGAAATGCTACGTAAATGCAAGGAGCAGTTGTACAAAGCGTGAACAAATGCACCACGAGATAAGGGAAGGGCGAGGGGTTTGGGGGGTTCACGATAAACTCATCAATCTCCTTGTTGCTGCTATTTGTGCGTGTCCGTGTGATCGTTTGTTCCATATTTTATTTTATTTTATTTTATTTGTTTTTTTTTTTTTTTTGCTTCGAGCGCGGTGGATATTGTTTTTTTTTTGTGTGTGTGTGCGCGGAGGTATTTTGCCGTTGGCGATGGTGGGAGTTGCGTCATTGCTGGAGAACAGCGCTTTTTTTCCTTTTTCTTTTCTTGTCTCGTGTGCGTGTGTGTGTGCGAGGGGTGCACCCCGCACGAGGCCTCAAACAGACTGAGGAAGCGAAATAACAAACTAGTGAGAAAAGGTGCGGCACGCGATGGTTTCTCCGGTCATTAGTTTCATGGATGCCATCCGCAGTCGTTACGGCTCGCCGGACGACAGCGAATTATACGACGCGGATGCCCTTCTCGTTGGGGACTCCAGTTGCCGGCGCAACAAGAAGTGGGAACTTGTCGGCATGGAGAAAACGCGGATGAAGCAGGCGGACCACACGCGACTCGTACACGTCGTTCTTCGTGGCATGAACATTACAGCTGCTGAGCGGGCAGAAGGTGAGTTGGCGGCGGCGGCGCTAAACCGCCTGCAGGAAGTTGACATTTCTGAGAATCCATCGTTGTCCATGCGGGAGATAGGCATAATTGCCTGTCATCTTCCCGCGCTCACAGTTTTGCAGCTGTCGGACAATCCGGATCTTCTCCTTTTTGAAGCTGCCTCGACAACAGTCACGCCAATAAAACCACTACTGCTGTCTGCGCAGCTGCGGAAGTTGGTGCTTCACAATGTGGGGTTGCGCTCCATTTGGCAGCTTCGGGTACTTGTGGATCTTCCAGCGCTTGAGGAGCTTCACCTTGAGAAGAACAACGTGCGCAGCCTAAAGCTGTTGACGGAAGCGGAGGAAGCATCCACTCCCCAAATTCAGGCAAATGTGGAGAGTACTGGCAATAGAAGTGACTGTTGGTTTCCTAACGTAACGACACTTAGCCTTGCACAAAATGAGTTGGCGTCATGGGGTCGTGAGAGTGGCCTCAATGAGACTTTGACAACGGCATTTCCACGATTGACACGACTGTTTTTAACGGGAAACCGCATGACCAACTTGTACGACGATGACATCACAGCAACAAACTCCATCACCACCGCTGCTGCTGGCTGTGGCGAGTATGCATACCTTTGGCCCCTGGAGTTGCTCTGTGTGAACGACAACAAAACCATCAATGACCCACGTACGCTTGAAACGCTACGAAAATTATGTCCACATCTTCACACTTTTCGCATTACATACAGCGCCATGTTTCCACAGTGGAATGAATCACTTGGTCGCATGTACGTTGTTGCGTCATTGCCAGGCATCACAACACTCAACCGGGGACAAGTGCGACCCAAGGAGCGATTGGACTCGGAAATTTTTTACGTACAGCGTGGACTAGCCGCCAAGCAGCAGGAGCAGAAGCAGCAGTCGGAAAAACAAGAGGAGTGGGTGCTACCGCATTATCCGCTTTTGGAAATTCTGCAAGCAAAGCACAAGGATGTCATTATGGCCATTTACCGGGAAGGTGAGACGGCGAGTCACGACGGCATTACGCACATGATGCTTCATCTCAACATTTGTTGTGATGGCTTTGAGAACGTGAAAAAGACAGTGCCAAGTTCGATGACTGTGGGGAAACTCAAGGCACTCATACGTGCCGTTTTTGGCGTAGCCCCTTCGAATCAACGAGTCTCTTTCTTTTCGGGTGATGATGCCGTAATTGAACGCGCTACGGAGCTTGACAATGAATTGCAGAGCCTTGCATTTTACGGTGTATCTGACGGGGCGCTGGTGCGGGTGGTTGACACATCTCTTCGGAGATGAGGCCTACGCGCATCTGCCATTGCTGGAACATACGCCAGTTTTGTTTTGTTTTCTCTTTTTTCTTGTTGGTCTTCTCGCGTGGTCAGTGCACCGTGGCATTTTTTTTTTTTTTTTTGCGGTGTTTGTGTATGTGCGTCTGTTTTATTGCCTCTTACTCTTGTTATTGTTGCTGATGCGGCCTGTAGTGGTGTCATGCCAACTCGCATCAAAAGAAAAAAAAAAATATGTGTTTTATCTTTTCCGTTACTTCTTTTTTATTTTTATTTTTTATTATTTTGCGCCACGCGTTGAAATTTTCTATAGAAGTTTCGGCTTTACCGTCTTTGTGTGATTTTGTTGCGGTTATTGTGTGGGCGAAAGTAACTTTTATGCGACGTGTTGTGGCAAAATCTGTTCTGTCGATAAGACGCACGCCGCGGTGGACCGCCGCCCACTTTGCCACAAGTCGCCCTCTTTTGAATGATATCACCGTTCCGCATGACGTGACGGGGGAAAACCAAACACGGAATGAGGGAAGAGCAAAGCCTTGGCGCCACCAGCGAGGTGGGGGCCCCAAGAGCAGCACTCACGGTCATAACGGCCCTGTGAAGGATCGTTTCCCGCCTATTTTAACGGATCTGAGCGATCCGCGGAGAAGGCTTGCAATTCTCCTGGACGCTTCAAGTGTCGAGCCACGCGTCTTTTACAACACGGTCCTTCCTGCCGCCAAAAAGGTTGGGGTGCCGGTGCTTGTGCGCATCTTTGCAGTGCAGCTGAGCAGTGAGTGGGAGTCTCACGTGGCTGGCAGTGATGGAGCGAAAATGTCTGGCCGTGACCTGAGCAGTAGCAGCGGGGCGGAAGCAGGGGAGAAAACGAAAATATGTAACGAGGAGCAGGAGGAAAAGACGACTGGCAACACATCTTTATGCCCTCCCGTGGAGTTTTTCCGGGTGGAGCGTTTTATACCGGTGTCGATGCAAATGGAAGCCGATGCAAATCACATTTTTGATTTCCGGCGCCAAAATAAGATTGAGGCGGTGTGTTTTGTCTGCACGGAAGTTGACCGCGGTGTGTTTGAGGGATTTTTACCGAATATTGCCGGCAACGGCTTCAACCAGTACGTTCTAGACGAACTCGGTATGGCGAAGGAGGTGCTCGAAGATGGCCGCTCGGCCGACGGCTCTCCATGATGACGGCGATGTGGGCGGAGGGCCATCGTGCGGTTGGAGGCGTCTCATCAACAATACGGTTGCCCGAAGGGACCCAGGTTTGGAAAGAAAAAGAAAAAAAGAACTTTTCCTTTTGACTTCTTTAGGCCACTTTGTTTCTTTCTCTGTGTGTGTGTGTGCCGGGTGGAGATGGAGGAGGATGAGGGGGAAAAGCGAACCAAATTAAAAAAAAAAGCAAGAAGGGAATGGGGGCAGCCGGAGTCTTTCATTTGCAAATAAATAAGTGTTTCGCACATGTGGGTCTGCAACGTTGCCTTCGAATTTTTTTTCAACGAAAATCCCAGCCTTTTTTTTTTCTCTCTCTTTGTGTGTGTGTGTTTGTGCCATAGTCGGGCAACGAATGGTTTTGGTGTCTGCGATATCTTTTTTAAAAGCTTTTTTTCTCCTTTTTTTAGTTTTGTGGACTAATTGTCAGCTTGTTCAAGGCCTATTCCAGTCTCATATAAAACTCCATATAACCAATAACAATGGCGGCGGGGAAGGAGGTGGCGGCGAAACAGTCGGCCGGGCCTCCAGGCTGTAAAATATGCTGTGCATGCCCCGCAGAGCGAAGAGCGCGTGACGAGTGCGTTATTCTTAAGGGCGTTGATGCCTGTAAGGATCAAGTGGAAGCATTTTATGCGTGTCTTTTGCGCGAGGGATTCACTGAAGAGGATGTGAACAGCTTGCGGAAAAGCGCAAAAAGCTTTTAGCTGGATGGAGATATATAAAAAAAAAAAAGGCCAAAAGCAGGTGAGGATTGTTTTGTTATTTATTTTATTATTTTTTCACATACGCCGGTGATATTTGCGTTTTATTTCTTCATGCCCGTAGGATCGAAGATATGAACGGCTTGCAGAAACGGAAAGGAAGGAGAGAGAAATGTCTCTGTGGTCAGTTTTTTTTTTTTTTTTGAAGGGATTGCCACCATACTTGTCTTTTTTTTGTGTGTGTGTGTTTGTTGTTGTTGTGTTTACCGCTGTGCCTTTTGGTTTTTAATCCCCCCCCCCCCCTCCTCCTCTCTTTATTTATTTATTATTTGGTGCGTTATTCCCCATAAGTAAAACGAGGACTGGGCTTTTTTGTCTCCCTTTCCTCCTTTACGTTGGTCATTTGAAGTGTTGCTTGCCCCATTGGCTGCACACACAATTCATAAATAAATAAACGAATATTAGAAGGAAGGAGAGATGAACGAAAGAACTTCGGGAGGCGCCATGTCAACAATCCAATTTGGCGGGACAATGACGACGACACTTTCACAAGCAAAGAATATGGATTTCTCCAATGACTCACCTCGTAGAAGAAGGAATCGACATAATGTGATTCTGTTCCCGAACCACCGTGACCGTCTGGCGTGTGATCCGTTGAATTTCTTTTGTGTGTATGCAACCTACGAGTACAGGTGGAGCGACACCACTTTGGAGGCGGAAAGAAACATCTTTGCACTTGTTGACTCCATGGTGGCTGCCGTCCGCAAGGCGTTTGACGATGCTTTCGAACGCTGGAAAAATATGCCGGCTTTTGTGCAGCATGCACATACGCTCCGTTCTGCTGTTTCATTTTCTTCAGCGCTCTCCACGAACACATTATTGCATATGTACTCCCATGCGGATAATGTGGCACGCCATACAACCTTGCGTAAAACTCTGGGGTCTATGCTACCCTCGCTTCCGGCTGCCAATCCACGTCAGGAAATGAACATTTGTTCCGCTAGCAGTGCCGGGAGAAGTACTTTTTCCAAAGGGGCGCTACCACGCGCTGCGCATCGTGAGCGACGTGAGGAGGAGGAGGAAGCCGTTATGAAGAATCTGGCGAAGCAGTGGATTCCCCCTCACAATGGCCCAAAATGCCGTCTTGTGCTAGACATTGTTGCATCACGGAAAACCCTTGGTGATGATCCAGTCATCAGTGATCCGTATCGATTGGGACAGAAGGTCTTTAGTTTCACAAGGAGAAATTACCTACGGGAGGTTATAAACACCTTTGTAGGTATCAGCGACAGTGGGGTGACGCTTGTTGGCAGGGATATTCTCTACCCGTTTCGCAGCACTGGCGGAGGGAGCCCAAAGCCCAGTGTAAAGATGAACTCTCTCTCTGGAAATCGGCGCAATTTATCAGGCAGTGCCATTTCAGGATTACCGATCGACTCCGGCGATATTTTGGGGGTGGCGGCATCGGGTGGTGTAGCGGCGAAGGTGTCAGGGTTTGAGCAGATTTTGGCAAACACCATTCCCGTCCCGCGGATGGTGCCGGTGCCGCCTACAAACACCGAAAAAGTGGACAACATAAGACTATTGGTGTGTTTTCCACCCAATGACATCTCTGGCAGTGTGGCGTAAGATGTTTGAGGTCGGCATCTTTTGGGTTTTTTTTTCCATTGACTGGTTTTTTGTTTTTATGTGAAGCAATGTAAATAAGCGGGTTTTACTCATTGTTTTACACCCGCTCCTTTTTTTTTTTTTTGCTGAATTGCGTGTTTATATGTGTTCATTGAAAGTAACGTTAGTTCCCTTTAAATAATGCAAAAAAAAAGAAAAAAAAAAAGAAAGAGAGCGCGAGAGGGAATGGAGCTTTGTATGTTAGCAACGGCGAAGATGTATGATGGTACAAGAAATAAACTGCTGTGAATTTGTGTGGGTGTTTCCTCTTGCCCGTTTGTATTTTTTTATTTCTCCCGTGCATGAAGAGAGGGAGGGAAGGGAGGGGCCAAAAGTAGAAGAAGGAGAAATGCGTGCAGTTGCTTCCGCACGAATCAATGGATTTTTTTTTTCAAATTCGTTAGCGGGGGTGTCCATTTCGGTGCGGTGCCTGTCACTCTCCGAGTTGGCAAAGGCGTTTACGGAGTTGAGCGAATCGAACGGGGCACCAGTGGCAACAGGACCCGCTCCCGCCCCGCATGAGGCACGGGTTCGGGCAGCATTCGATATGAAAAGTGCACCGTTGACGCTCGGCGGGAATGATTTGGGACCATTGGATAAAGCAAGCGGCTTGAGGCTAGGGAGTAGTCGTGACGATTCTAACAATGGGGCCGTCACATTCTCGACAGCATACAGTGAACGCCTTAGTAACATGTCAGGAGCACAACTCGCTTTTGCGCTGGAAAAACAGTGCAGGCAGCAGCATGTTGGTCAGATGCTACAGTGCCTTGTGGAAGTATGGCGTCGACTGCGTGAAACGTCGTTGATGAGTGTTATTATTACAGATGAAGAAGCACGTGGTGAGGTGGGTGGTAATAATGTGGCGTTTACTTCATTCCGCAGCGATAGACTGTTGGAGGGCGTGTTACGTGCGTTGGCCAAGACGAACTTGGATGAGGTGCAGCAGAGCTCCAGGCTGGTACGAGAGTTGGGGCATGATGGCATCAGTGTGGAGTGGGTGACAGAGTTTGGATATTTGCTTATGCAGTGGCTCGCAGCTCGCGCGGCCTCACTTAGCCCCTTTTGCAGCGCAACTTTTTTGCATCTCATTGCGCAACAGAAAGTCTTTCACTCGGATGCTGTTTTGGAAACACTGCGTGACAACATTGAGGTGCACATTGCCAGGGACGCAGTGCGCCAAGCAGGCATTGCTTTTTCTTCCAAAATTTCTTCGTCTCGTGTTACTTCTGCTGAAAGTGTCCGTGAGTTTGACGTGTGTGCCTTTGCCGTACTGTTGGATGCGATTGCCCGGTGGCAAGCCAAATTTGTGCGGCTCCTTGGCGGTGACGGACTTGGGCCGCAGATCCGATTGCATGACGGGAGGAAAGTGACGGAGACGATAACGAGGCGTCAACACCCAATCCTTAATGCGTCATTTTATAACGTGGTGGTGGACGGATTGGTGCGAGGTGTGCGTGACGGCTCTCTCCACCTCACACGACAGGGATCTCCGTCAACATTTTTCTTCCTGACACTGGCGTTGGCAAAGATACGTTGGCTCCGTGCGGACTGTGTCGAGGTGCTTCTACCACAGCTGCACGAGGCCTTGCGTGTGTTCTCCGGACAATATCTTGGGGTTGTCTTTCTGCTTGGGCGGCGTGAAGTGAAGACGTGCAACGTTGAGACCACAGACCTGCTTCTGCAGACACTACTTGATGCGATGCAAAAACGCGGAAAGCGTTACATCTCGGCGGATGAGCGTAGACGTCATAGCTCCGACGCTGTGGCCCTCCCAACTTCTCTCAGCACCACGCAAAGTGCTGACGCTTCTTCTTGGATTTCTACGTCCGTGGGCCACGAAGTGGATTTATCGACGGCAATGGCAATTGCGGATATGGACACCGACGATGAAGATTTGCAGCTCCTCTCTGCTTCACCGCATTTGGAGTCTGTGGGTGATAAGGGTGTTAGACATTTCTCCGAAACGGAGGCCATTAATTCGGGTGTTTCTTCCCATTCGTCACCCGTGGTGTTTGCGACAAGTTTTATGGACATTCGCTCCATGCCTGTATTACTTGATAGTCTTAATCATATTTTAACGACCACACTTGAGCATTGCAGCGCGCAGGGCCAAGAGACTCAGCGAAATGCAGTTGAATTGAAGGCAAGAACCCTTTACGAGGCACTGCTAAACGACACACATGGTGGAGTGAAGTCACTTTACGCACTGCAGGAGTCTCCTGTCTTAGTGGAGAAGCTTCTCTCATCCGTACTGCGCATACCATACGAGACCCATCATCCGCTTATTATTGAACTTGCTTACGTCTTTACACGACATGTCGGTGCACGACATGTGGTCCCACAAGACATTAGGAAATCAACGGTTGCCGCCCCGCATTGGCAGTGGCGTACGATGAGTCTTGTTGAGCTATTGGTCCAACACGGTGTTATCTTGCCAGAGACGTATGTCATGACGGACAGTGTCATCCAGTTCGCTCCACGTGTGCTTTCCGCTGTGGAGGCAGAGAAAAAGCGTCTGTTGGAGCGCCACCACGAGCGCCAACAGCAATGCGGGAAGCAAAAGGGAAGGGAAAAGAAGAAAAAGAAAACTGTTCGCACATCGGAGGTGTTTGCGAGATTTTCACGCGTCGTGTTGCAGTTGAAGCAGCAGATGTGACTGTCGAAAGAGTGAAACAAGCACAGGGTTTGTGTGGTGAGGGAGGTGAGTTATGCGTCTTGTTTCTTCTTGCCACTGCTGTCGTGGAAGACGGCGTTCAACGCCAAAAAAAATAAATAAATAAAAAAAGAGCAAACATGAAAAGTGCTGGCAAATAAAAGAATACATATATTTATTTTAATTTGTGATTTTACAAGCCACAATTGGCATGGACTGAATGCGCTTATTGGTGTTTAATGTTCGTATCACTTTTTTTTCGTTTCTCTCTTTCTCCCTCTCTTTGTTTTGTCTTGTGTGTTTTGCAAGGGTCGCGGCTCAGACTGCTCGGCTACCGGTGTTTCCTCTCCCATATTTTCCCGTGCCACTTGTAAACAAGGCCTCCGCGAGGGCGGAGTGCATCCAAATAACCGGGACAGTGAATATGGAGAAAGTAAAGCGATATCTTTGCTCCTGTGGTGCAGATTACATCATACCTAAAATCTGCGAGTTCCCTGAAAGCTGTGCTACGGCCGAGCTTGCTGCCGAGCGGCTTTCCTGCAGTCCTTCAATGATTGCAAAGAGCCTCAGCTTTACGCTGATGGGGAAGAAGGGGGGCGTGGATTGTATGCCTATCGTCATACTCGTTTCGGGTGATGCGAAGGTGAACAACAACAAATACCGTAACAAGTTTGCCCGTCGTCCCGTGATGATTAGGCGTGAGGAGGTTGAGGAGTTGGTTGGATTCGCTCCGGGCGGAGTTTGCCCCTTCGGCGTGAATGAAAATGTGCGGGTATACTTGGATATCTCACTGCGTCGTTTTGAGACGGTACACGTGGCAGCTGGCACGGCGAACAGCACCGCCCCGATGAGCATCAAAGAGCTGGAGCGTTTCTCGGGCTTTGTCGAGTGGGTTGATGTCTGCGACGGGTGGACGGAATAAACGTTGAATGATGATGTAGCTGCCCTGTTACGGTTTTTTTCTTTTTCTTTTTCTGTAGAAGGAAGGAAGGAAGGGAGGGGGGGAAAGAGAAACGAAAAAGAAAAAAGGAAGGGAAACAGATAGACGCACGTATATGAATCTCGACTCATACAGACTGAGGGGAGCGGTTGGTGTTCCACCACTTTTTGCTGTTGCCTTGGCTTTTATCTGTGTGCGTGTTTGTTGTTGTTTTTGTTTCTCTTCTTTCCGTGGGGGATATTTGCCACATTAATGTGCTGCTGTTGTTGGTGTTATCGGCATCTCATCTTTTTATTTATTTATTTTTGCTGTTGAACCTCAATGGTGTCAGGGCGGCGCAGGTTGGCATGCGGTTCAGCGGCCATACCGGCAGAAATGTTCTCACTTGATGCGGCTGCCACGAACATTTCTCCTCTTTATTATTATTTCATTTGAAGTTGCGAGTGGTTTTCAATTATCTTTTTTTTTCCCCTTGTTTTTTTTTATTCTACTTTTGGCAAAGTACACACGCGCATAATTGTGTGTTTTTATTACTACGATCGGTCATAGTTTGTTTCCACCTCGTGTATGCTTACATCAGACCTGCAGCGCCTGCAGCGCCTTTTTGCGTACTTTAAAAAGAACACCAGCAGCGTGTTGGGGGGCTGCTGCGCGCTAATCGAGCTTATTGATGAGGACGATTTGACAAATTGGTACGTCTTGTTGAAGTACGAGGATGAAAACAAGAAGGAGTTTTTTGTTTCACTACGCATCTACTTTTTTGAGGAACTGCAACGTATGCCGCTTGTCTTTGTGATTGCCCCACGGATCATTGCAACCTTCATTCATCACGGCGCCATATGTTCGCTGGAGCTGATGTCGCAGCAGTGGTCGGTGGATGCCGAAGGAATCGCACTTCTCATCCGCTCTCTGCACGCCACACTGAACCCCTTTAGCCATGACAGTAGGGTAGCGGTGGATGAGCTCAACAGTGGAAGGGACGGTGGAAACCAACAAAACCGATTGCTAGCAGCGGAAGGGATAGGGGCCACTGCTGCACCTGCCGTCTCCTTATCGGCGTACACGCGGGAAGAACATGAGTTAGGCATCCGACACATTCGTCAGTCCCACCCGCATCTTTTCCGGGCATGCACCCGCAAAGATAGTCAGCCGCAGCAGCAACACGGCTCACCGGCAGCAAAGTCAGTTATGAATAGCACGCCGTCGCCGAATTCCATTTCCCTCTCCACGTCGTATGCATACCACGGTGGAGCAGGAAAGGCGGCAACAGTGAAGGCAATCATTCATTCCCAGGAAGAACTTCAAGAGCTCTTCCTTGCAGGTGGATTGGTGGATGCTGAGTTGGATGTTGGGTATCACTCTTCCTTAGATGGAAGCCTTCGTATTGGTGTTGACGCTCCTTCCGTGAAATGCAAACTACCCACTGCTGGCAATCCGATCCTGAACTACACAATGAAAATAAGCCCTTATGGCTGGGAAAAGAACGACGAAAAATTAACAACAACAACAATCCCAAAAAGTGGGATTGATATAGCATCCGATACAACGCAGGCAGTCGGCGAATGTAGTTTAACGGCTCATCACAGTGATGTACCTCATAAATGGAAAGGTGAGGACGGAAAAAAGTTTGTCAGTCGCCAGTCATTTCTCACGCCTGCCATTAGTGCCGATGATGCGGAGCAGGAAAACAAGCCGCACTATCATAGTAAACATCGAGGCAAGGAAAAAGGATCTACCTGTATGGGGATTGAACGAAGTAAGGAACGCAGAAAAGTTGTTTTATTTCTCGAGGGTGAGGCCGTAATGGACACCGGTGATAGCAATACTCTTTCGAATGCACAAGAAGGCCGGAGGCCGGAGGCTCCTTGCACCATTCCGGCGGGATGCACACTTCGACTGGAACACCTCACGGTGTACGGTGCGATCGTTGTGCTTGGAACTCTTGAAATGCACGACTGCAAGTTCATTGGCCACTTTTCCTCAGAAGGTGAGGGGCGTGTGGAAATTTCACAGTGTCGCGTGTGCGTGGACAGTGCAGAAACGCGTCGAGAAGGGATTCTTGTCCTTGATGCCTCCACCTTGGAAATACGGGATGGTACTACAGTGCGACGCAGGGAATACACGTTTACGGAGGGTGGGGAATCTGTTCCTGTCTGCGCAGCTGCACCGTTTTTGTTACAGGCATTTATCCTGATTTCTAACAGTGGGACGTTGCGCATACATGGCGGCTGCCATATCATGCCATATGGCACTGAAAAGACAATATTTGCAGAACAAGATGCCTCCGTAGATATTGCCGACTGCAGTATTATGGCAGGATACAGCAGCGCGGTTAGTATACTTGGTTGTCATGCCTTTTTTTCCAACACTCGTTTTTATGGTGCAGATTGCGTGGAGTTGCAAGTCTCAGATTTGAATCGTCCAACGGGGCTTAATGTTGAGTTGGGAGGCCTTGTCACCGCCCGTCATTGCGTGGCGGAGTACCTGTACTTTGGGTTTTCCGTGATTGCCCATTCCGTTTCACACTTTTTTGGGTGCCACGCAGAACATGTTGTGAACGGCTACACCATTGATGCCTCCTCCGTGACAATTGAAAACAGCTCTGCCCGCAGCAACCACGTGGGGGTATTTGTGCTAAATAAGGCGAAATGCAACATCATGAACGAAGATGACCATGTACTTTCGTTTGACGAACGTTGTCGCCTTTTACTGAAGTCACGCGAAAACGTGGAGCGGCAACGAAAATTTTCTTTTGTGGAGACACACTTGGGCGAGGAAGATGCGGAGACAAGCAGTTCTTTTTCGTCCGTTTCCAGCTGCCCCATCGTTTTACAAAGGTCACCTGCAGCCGCAGTGGGCGACGAGGAAAAGATGGATCACCCCAATGTTGGGATCTCTGCTTTGGCTGACATGAATAGGAAATTGTTCATGTCTCACATGTTTTCTGGAGAAACAGCAACGGCAATCACAGCAAGTGCGTCAATTTTCCCTCTTTCCTTTAGGGGTGGTCTGTTTAGTCTGGAGGTTCGAGACGCCTCGATGGTGGCAAAGGGTTTGCTCCTTGTGGACGCACAAGAGACTTCCATCTATGTCTACGACCAGGGTGTTCTTACACTCACAGATGTTATTGTCTGGAAAACACTGGCATCGCCACAGCAGCCATGTGGAGTGAAGATTGTGAACAGCCGAGCCAATGTGCAGCGTTGTTTGGTGGCGGATTATTCTTTTGGCTTTGCAGCTATTCAGGGAACCGTTGTTCGTTTTGAGGAGTGCATGGCGGTGGGTGGGACGAATGGATTCACCGTAGACGATGCTCATTGCACCTTGCATCACTGCGGTGCTAATACGGAGCACGTTGGTGTTTTTGCTCTCAATCGATCCACACTGCGGATGGACAACTTGAATGCTCCCAAGTGTAAGGAAGGTTGGCTTTCTTGTGTTTTGAAAGGTCATTTACATGGACTGGAAAGCCGGTCAAGTGATACAATTTGCATTGGGGTTACAGTACAGCGTAGTCTTGACAGTGGGTTTACATGTTACAATGGTGGGTGTCTTCGTCTTGAGAAGTGTACCGTGGACATCAGTACTTCTGGTTCTACAGAAACCAACATTGGTGACATTTCTTGTCGTCATTTTTCCCCTTCTGGGAGGGATTGTTCGAATCCCGCCTTCTCCTCGGGGGCTGCCGCTGCTGCTCTTGATGGAAGTGAGGGAGGCTTGAATCGAGCCAAAATAGGAAATACCACCAAGGCAAATTCACCACACGATGAAATGCCTGGAACTTCTCTGGCGTATAGCTCCCAAAAGAACTGTGGTGTGAAGGCCTGGTCAGGAAGTCGCTGTCTCGCTATTGGATGTGAGGTACGGCACGTGACTTTTGGGTACGCTGCGATTGGTCCTGACACAGAATTGGAGGCCTCCCATTGCACAGCAAAACATATTGTAAATGGCTTTACAGTTGATAGCGCCAAGTGTCGATTGTCACGGTGTAGCACCAATAGCAATCATGTGGGCGTGTTTGTCCTCAGCCATGGGACATGCACAGTGCGCCGAGGCAGTTATACAGCTCGCATGTACAGTATTGAGAATCGCAATGGTATTGTTCACATTGAAGGTCATGTGAAGCTCAGTGGCTTTTCTCGAATTGGACTGTACGTTTATGATGGCGCTAGGTTGGACACTTTGACAGATAGCATGCTGGACATCAAGGTTCGTAAGGATCATGCGGGACAGCAGTTGCCACCAGAGCTAAACCTCACAGGACCCTCGGCAAGTCCTTCCGGGCTCTTTCCTTCATGTTTTGCTATTGATAAGGGTAACGCCGTTATTCACAATGCCTTTTTTGGAGGTGGTGCTCAATGTGCTGTGAGTTGTGGTGATGGTGCGAACGTGTATCTTCACCAATGTACCGCGGAGTTTTGCAATATTGCCTTTAATGCCCTTTCAGGATCTCAAATGTATCTCTCAAACTGCTGCGCCCGAGATGTTAGACATTATGCACTAATTGTTCACCGTGGCGGAGTTTCACGGGTGAATCGTCAATCTCCTATCCCATCGGCAGGCGGCATTCTTCAGGGAAGAATACGGATTGAAGGAAAGTGTTTTCTGGAGCACGTTATTCTTCACCCTACGACAGATGTGGACAGTGAACAATTTGAAACAATTCAACCGTCGTTGCCATTACTATCATCATCGTCATCATCCTCTGCACCTCTCTTACCCTATGGGTCCGAGTTTTTTGTAGAAAAAACGCCTTTAAACCCTTCCTTGCCGAAGTCAAATTTTCTCATTTATGTTACATTGAATGGGACGCTAGTGATGGATTGCTGTCTTGTTCTCCTTGAGGAGCATCATCGCGTTTTGGAAGAGGATGGCGGTGGTGGAGAGAGTATAGCAAATTCTGTGATTGTTGCGGAGGGTTGCAGGGCCACAGTGCAGTTGCGAAATGTTCTTTTTCAGAGGTTAACTGCGGCTGGGACAGGTAGTCTGGGGAGTTTTGAAGGATCTATGAGTTCTCATGGTAGCGTATTGCTGCCTAGCAACACTCATGGCAGCGATATTTCTCGTAAAAAGACAACTTGGTACGGTGTCGTTTTGCTGCAGGGCGCAAAAGGTGACATACATGGATTTTCGGAGGCAGCACTTATTAGCGGTAGTGCTTCAACTATCCGTGGTGCAGCGGCGGATAATCCACTTGAAGCATCTCAAGCGAGGACGCATTTTTCTCCCAGATCATCTGTCGAAGGTGGTGATGATGCCATTTCTCTTTTGGAAAACCACAATGTCCCAACAGAATATGAGTTCCTTTATCGAAGTTTAAAAAAAGGGCGGAGCGTTTTATCGGTTGGTGAAATTGTACCTCTGCGTGTGTACCTGACTCGGGCGTCCTCTTTGACCACAGAAAATGTGAATTTACGTAAACTTGTGGCTTCTGGAGGGTCAACTATTGACGCTGTATGTTGTTTTTTTGCTGGTGCTGACGCCGTGATACTCAGTGGGGGTAGCACCTTTCGGGCCGTAGAGAGTCGGTTTGTGAGCGCAGTTTTTGGTCCGGCGATGCGAGTGGAGAGTGCAACGGTCCACCTCAGGAAGTGTCGGGGCTATTCCACACACAAGGAGGTGATTGTGGCCAGGAGTGCAACTTTGACATTTGTTGAGTCCCTACTTTTTCCACTGAATTTGGTAAACAATGAAACTAGTGGAACATCTTTCTCTGCGGGTGAACGATGGCTTGGGATCTCGTCAAGAAATGACGAGGAGTGTGAAATAGGAAAGGGTGACGAGGTGTTGATTCTCCCTCACAGGAGGCGTCGCGATGGTGGTGGTGGTAATGAAGGGGCCATCGTACCAAAAAGTGCCAAACAAGGGGACACCAGTATGCCAAAAACGGCCGTACCGACTTGCCTGGCTCTGGAAAACACTCCCATCGAACGACGTGTGGCGGTGCCGTTGGGCGTTCCGCTGCTGTCCCATGCCCGTGCTGAGGAAACACGGTCAGATACGTTACCGCAAGATGTAAAATGCCTCCAGCCACACGATGACGGTATTGTGGATCACGCTCCACTTGTCTTGGAGGGTGTCCAGAATGAACTTTTTCGGGGGAATTGTCCTACTGAAGAAGGGCCGAGGAGGCGACACATCTCGACACGTGAAGCCGGTGTGCCCCCATTGCAGTGTAAGAAAGGTTCTTGTGTTACAGAAGAAGCATTGGAACTTGCCGAATCAGAGACGGGATCATATTTAGGGAGGAGACAACATTTTGATGTGCGGCTGGAGCATTCATATCTATATTGTTGCGGTGCCACAAGGATTGAGGGTGGCGTTACAGCTGATGCCTTCAGTAGGATAGAAGCCAGTCGGTCAACATGGTTCTCGGGCCTTATAAGTGCGGCAAGAAAGGTACTTGCCAGAGTGTATGGAACGTGAGGAATCCTCTTGTGTTTTTTTTTTCGTGTGTTTTTGCTTTTGGTGAGTGAAGCACCATGGCAAGAATGATGGCTTTTATGGGGGGTAAACAAACGCAAAAGGAAGAAATATGAAAAGAGAAAACGGTGTATTTAAGCAATCGCTCCTTTTTTTTTTCTCGGTTGCGCCCCCTCCCTTTGTTGGGCGTTCCTCAACGCTTGGAAGGGAGTCGGGGCTGTCAAGAGGGAAGGGAAAGAGGTAGGAATGGAGAGAAACAGCTGAAAAGAGGAGCGTTTTTTTTTCCCCCTCTTGTCAAGGAGTCAAGAGTGGATTTAAAACAAAAAGAAAAAAAAAAGATATGTTTGCGTTCCACAACAACAACAAAAACACGTGGTAGTATTTTTGCTTCCTTTGAGTGCGGTGGGGTGACAACAATGCGTTTGTTTTTGTCTCCACATGAAAAAACAAACAAACTCGAATGCTCGATTGGCGGAAAAGACGCTGTTGTTGACGCACGTGACGACGGGCAAAACGGCAGCTGCTACAATAACATATATATTTATTATTGTTATTATTATTATTATCATTATTATTCTTTTTGGTTTCTTATTTGGCAAGGGGTGATTCGGCGAAATGGTCTTTGCGCTTTCAGAATTTGGCGAGCATAAGGGGCACAAACACACCCATGGCGGCGCTGTCGCCGTTCCTTTCATGGGATTAGAGGAATCGCACGATGGTGCCGCTCATTATGTGAGGTTGGAAGAAGGACACGATGGAGCGGTGGCGTTAACAAAAAGAGTGGTGAGGGCCTTTGTTTGGCTAGCGGCGGTGGCGGCGGTAATTTTTGCGGGATCCATGCTGCTGTTTCAGATTGCGTCAAGAGAGTTGATAAAGAAAAACCGCGCGCTCAGTATTTCTTCGGTGGTAGGGAACTATTGGCTCAACTACGAGCGCGTGTACCCCGTCCGGGACGAAGAAACCGAGAGAAACGGAGAAGAAGCTGCGTGGCCTTACGCGTTATATCGTCTATTCTGTACTTGTGAAAGAAATTTGGCTTCTGCAGGAAAAAAAGCGCCTGCGATCACATCGAGTAAGTTGCTTGTGTTTTTTATACACGGAAATTTGGGGGCATACGATGAGGCCTCTCAACTGGGGTGTGTTGTGTCTCGATTGATCAGCGTAACGAGTGAAGTGTATACCTTTGACTTCCTGCAGCAAGCGAACATTCACCGTGGTAAGCTCCTTCAGCAACAGGCGGCTTTTGTCGCACACACCTTGGGATTAAGGCGATGGGGAAGTGAGTCCAAAAATATTACGAGTGCCATGGAGTTCCAGGGGGAGGAAATGGCGAAATCCACGGATCATCTTGAAAAACAAGACGGTGGGACTGGCGTGTGGATTGTTGGTCACTCAATGGGTGGCGTGGTTGCGCGTCTGGCAGTGGAGATGATGCGGAATTCTGGGACCTCTATTTTTTTGGAAGGCGTCATCACACTCAATACACCACATCGTTATCCTCCCATCTTTATGGATGCTGCCATGTTTAGGATCTACACTAATCTGTGGCAGCCGTCTGATCGGGACTTGGCTTTAAAGAAGTCGTGGCATCGAGCACCACATTTCTACTCTCTCACCTCAGGTTCATTGGACCTTCAGGTGGAGCAGTGGTTGACAAATCTTGCTGGACTAGATGAGAACCGGTTCCCACATACAATGTTCCGTACAGAGGATCCAACTGTTTGTGGAAAGTCGTTATCACATACGGATATTGTGCGAGACTATTGTGTTCTCGAATTTGTTGCGAATATCATTGCGAAAAAGATTACTGGATTAAGGCACACACCAATTCACGCCCGCAATCCACTGGCCAGCTTTTCTGGTGGCGTCACTGCGCCCTTGTGGTGGGCAAATAAGAGTGTAACGAGCCACACACTCCCTGTTGCCGCATTATCTTTTTACACCGCATTGGTGCTCTCCGCCATCTACCCAACTGTTTTTCCTCCAATGGCCAAACAACGTTTTATATCTAATCACCGTATTTCGTGTTTTTGCTGGGGGCATCAAGTGGCACTGCCGCGAGGGATACCAACGATGGGCGGCGCGGTGATTGGTTCTCTTTTCATAGGTATTTGTAGCCGGATTTTTTTTGTGCAGATTCGCTGCTTTTTTTTGCCCTGTTCCTCCATATGCGGTCTGCCGTGGGTCGCCGACGATATTGCATGCATTTCTGAAGCAAGATGCAGCCATTTGCCGTCGTCTTTTGTTGCTTGGCTTGGTCCAGCACTCCTCGGGTCATGGGTAGGATTATTGGTTTATTATCTGATTTGCGGTTTGTTGCGGTTGAGTTTACTTATTTGGACGGTGCTGGGGTCATGCCATCTTTATAAAATCCACTTATTACGTCATATTCGGCCAGGAGTAAATATGTGGTACTGCTTTTTCATGCTGGTATACCCCGTTACCGCGGCGACTAGTACTGTATTTTTAGAGTTGTATCAACGTACGATTGTGTGGCTTGCTTTTATATTATTGATGATGCCATTACGTGTTCTTGTGGAGAATGCTGCAGCCAACACACCCCAGCCTACCGCGAGTGCCGATGCCTCTGCCCCTGTGGCCGTCTATGCCTTGTTGCATGCCCTCAACGTTCAGCCCACTTTTGCGTGGAAAAATAAGAAGTTATCTGGCACGGCCGACAGCAACAATATATTGGATGAATGCATCCGTGTGTCGGAGGTTTTCCTTCATGTATTGTTGTTCACACACTTTTTGTGGCCCATTTTTCGCTCGTTTGTTCTTCAAAAAAGTGGACATTTGCCTCTTTTAAAATTATCTTCTTCGCGTGGGTCATTTTTATGCATGGCAACCTCAGTTGTTTTTATCCTCATTTACATGTCGCTTTTTGCCATGAACGGACTCCCCGTGGAGGTGTTCCGCGTTGTGTGGACGCTTCTTTGGGGGTTTCCCGCCTTCCTGTTTGTCAGCACAGTGGGCTTGGACGGAGTGCTCGTTGAGCGCTTTGCCCCGACGTCCCTTAGGGTTATTTGAGGCGCGGGGGGAGCAATATGTGGACTGCCGCCCCACCACCACCACCACGAGCATCTCTCAGGCGACGATGCATACGCCGTGGGGGCTTTCAAGGTTTTTCTTTGGAGTTTTTGCGAAGAGAATGGTCGCAGGGGAGAGCTGGCTAACTTCATTAATGTATATGTATCCTGATAAGAGGAATAAACTGCTTTCAGATACTTTTCTATCGTATGAATTTTTGGGAATGCTACGACTTTAGGGGAGCAGGGAACCGACAGCGGCAGGATCATTTTTAACTTTTTATTTTTTATTTTCCCACCCTAACTCCCGTTTGATTCCCACCGCTTGCGGCGGGGTCTTGTGGTTGGAGGAGCCCAAAGTCTGCCACTTCGTAAGGAATAAATAAATATATATGTATACCATCCGAATAGAGTGAAGGGGTCACGATTGTGGCTAACGGATGATATATAAATATATAAACATACAGTCACCTGGTGTTAAACTTTGAGTTTGTGGTGAATTCATTCTTATTCCATTTATCCCTTTGTCATTCCCATCTGTTTTTTTTTTTTTTTTTTTTTTTTTTTTTTTAGGGGGGAAATTCAAAATTTGGCCAGCGGCCCAGGCGAATATTATTCTAAATAAATAAAAAAAAGACTCCCTGCTTTCCTTCCGTACTTATGCACATGATGTATTGCGTGGGCTGCTTTCATTCCTTCACACATGTACAAGCAAACAACGCGCGTGGTCACCATGAAAAGGTGCGGCTGCTTCTTTCTTTATATTTCTGCCTTATTATTATTATTATTATTATTTATTTTTCTTTTCTAATGTTGCCTTTTTTCTGCGGGCCCGTGGGTGGTTTTGTTGTTGCCTTTGCGATGTTGCGAGGGAGGATTCATCCTTTTTTATAGCCAATATTTCGAAGGTTGGAGAAGAATTAGTGGTAGTGGGGAGAAAAACAAGGAAAAAAAAAAAAAAGAGGCAAAAGGCCAAAAAGAAATAAACAACAACAACAACAACAGCAAAAAGAAATAGGAAAGGAAAGGAAAGGAACAACAATAATAATAATAGCAATAATAATAAAAAGACAAAAAGTAAATTCAGAAGCAACAACAGCAAAAAAAAAAAAAAAAGCTCATAAGGCGTCAGGTAGAGTGACGACACACTGGTTTACTCGGCCTCACCCGGAAGACCATATTTATTTTTCCTGGTGGGCGTTGGATGTCATCACGTTATCGCGAGCTCATCGCGATTTTTGGTGAATTTCTCGAGGAAAATGATTTCCATGTACGAATTTCGATGGATAGGGTGGGGGAGGTGAAGACCCTATTCAGCGCCAAAACAATTCCGGTCGAGAGTGAAACGGAGGCCGCAATTGAAGTCGTCACTATCGAGGCGGCACGCCGCCGTGACGCACTGCGCCGTACATGCAATGCGGTGCTTCGGACCCGACACTCAGACCAGCACGTGGATGTTGGGACCATAGTCGCCGATGAGGAGGAACGACTGGCCTGGAAGTTTCTCATTGGCGCATTGGCAGCAAAAAATTCTGAGATTCTCCCTGTTGTTGAGGCAGAACTGCTGCTTGCGGCGGTGGAATATCACTATGCCACCGCCCGGCCAGAGTTGTGCGACATGTTTGTCCACCTGAGCGCAAGTGAAATGTTCTTCATTGATGGGGATTCACTTTTCATGGCCGCACTATCCCCGCAAAGCGTGGACTGGGACCTTATCCAACCATTGCATGTCATTTACAATGCGCAAAAGCTTTTGTATGACATGCATTGTCGTGGAGCTCGTTTTCACGTTGTCTTTTTTGACAGTTTGTTGTGGATATGGGAGTCGGCACCTGCAAAGCTCTTTATGCGTGAAAACCTACGTAAAACATTGATGTCTCTGTCCGAAAATGACGCGAAGGTTGGTCTCTCAATATCCAACTTTTCCAGTTATTACTCGGAGGCCTTTGAGACGTACGTCAAACAGTGGGAACCGGAGTTCATTTTAATGTCCGATGGAGAGCAGCTGGGTAGACTTAATCCACTGCAAGCCTTTTTTGTGCGCCCATCCGCGGCAAACAACACTCACGATTCCAGAAGGAAGGCGAACTACACGGATGCCGATGAGGCAAATCCGTACCGTCTCAGGCGACAGTACCGGAGTATAGTGGAGGATGAGGCAGTCGGTGACAAGGCGGCTTTGTACTACCGGTGCATCCATCTTTGGGCAGCGACACGACGGCTGAAAGTGGCATACTCCTCCCGTATCATCTACAAGGAAAACGCCATGGTGGTATTTACCGTTCGCGTAGACGGTGCGAGCTTTGAGCGTGCAGTGACTATTGAGTCTGACGTGCAGGCATTGGCTCAGTCAATGGAACACGAGGTACAACTTCCTGCTATTTCTTCTGCATCTTTGGGATTACTGGATGAGGAGGATTTGTCCTGCCGTGAACGAGTAGTGTATGCCGCCTTGCATGCCTACTTGAGGGCCAGTGCGAGGAGCGAACAGGAACATCAGCTTTGCCAGGCACTTGCCATTACAACATACATTACAGGGTATCTAAATAAGGAGGCTCGGGCGCAGCAAGTCCGACCCAACCCTATCCTTGCAGGCTTCTTGAATGAGATATCACCGTTTCTTCTTGCTGTATGGCGTCATGCTGATTGTACTAACGGTAATGGGCAGGAGTTTGACCTTATTGATGGCCACCTATTCTCAGCCGTTTCTCAGCAGTTGCGCACAGCGTCAGTCTCGGAGTTGTTTGACGAGTATGGTGTTGAAGACATCGAGTCCACATGGGGTGTTTTGGACGATCAAGGAAGTGCGGATATTGTCAACGCACCGCTTTCGTATTTGCCAGTAATTGACTCTGTGGATGTGGAAAAACTGCAGCCGTATCCGCTCATCACGCATGAGTTGGTGGAGCGCCTTGCAAAGGGGTTTGGCATTTCGACACATCGTGCAGATGCGCCTTATCCAACTGATTTTGGCGCCGCAAACGAACTCGCCGGATGGGACATTACAACACCGTTTGACAGGCTCAATGATGTGATTGATGCTGAGGGAGACGCGATTGCGAAGAGCATGATGACCGAGAAGGAAGCCAAAAATGTGCAGGAGTACTATAAAAAGTTTGTGCGTAATGCTCTTAAGCAGGCGCAGTCCATGGGAATTAGTGGGTTTGCGGCCCATGAACTGGCCATGGTTTGTTCAGACAACGACTCGGATGATGACGCTGGCGGTAACAGCGCCAACAATAAAACTGCAGGAGCCAAGAAGGTAAATAAGGAGCACGCGGGGCAGCGCAACAAGAAGGAGCGCAGTAAGGAGGATGAGATTCGTGAGCGCAGTAACGTTATTGCTGCCACTGCCACTGTCGCTGAATGGCACAAGCAGATGAATCACCTCCTGCACGCTGTAGACATGAGCCACGGACGCACCACCAATAGGGATCGTGACGAGTCGATTAACACCATCATGGCAGCCATCAAGCGGCTCTCTCAGGAAAAGTTTGGAAAAAACTTTGACCCAGGGTACACGCTTGGTGGCTCCACGAACACTGCGGTTCCCCTCAAACTTGAGATGTGGCGTTTGCTTGTGGCTGCCAGTCAGCTGCGGGAAGTCGAGTTTGCCTTTGCGATGGAGGATCCTGCACTGAAGGATAGCAAAGGTGCTAGCAAGAAAAAAGATAGCAAGTCAGAATACAAGATGCTTTATGGCTTCCACGTCATCAATCAATTTGTGGAGCGGGAAGCCGTCAAGGGAAATCACTGGGGACAGCTGGATCCATTGCGAAAGGCAAAGCCCGATATGACAATTGTGGAGGCGAGATCATATTTGCGTTGGGTTTACCTTTCCTTTGTGGAAATGCACATTCAGTTGAAGCTGAAATGCCGTGTTGTGAAACTTCAACTTGAAAACTGGCGCGCGGAACGAGAGCGTGCACGTTTGGCCCAAGAATCACCAAAGATTGCTCTTGGTATTCCTCTCTTTTTGTATTGTCACCACCATGTGTTGGCCGTGATTCGCGATGAGGGTCCGCGGATGTCTTCGGAGGATATTGACACGGTGCGCTCTGCCCTCAAGCACTTTGATCTCCCGGATTCATACTATAACAAGCTTGACCAATGCATTGCACGTTGGCAGAACATGACACTTGGAACCCTGCTGCCGAGTCTTCTTCCACAGGACAAGCAACTTTTTGAAACGCCTGAGATGCTTCAATTAATTCACATGGGGCACTTGTTAGAGCGTCCCTTCGTGCGGGAGCATGATTACCGTGTTGCCTTCAATCCCGATAACTGGCAGCGGGAGCTTCTAGACATTGTTGACGGCCGCGGCAGTGCGGTGGTCTGTGCTCCCACCTCTGCTGGCAAAACCTTTATTTCATACTATTGTATGTATAAGGCCCTGCGACGCACAAATAAAAAGGTCGTTGTGTACCTTGCCCCGGCACGTGCACTTATTAATCAGGCGGTGGCAGATGTATGCGCCCGTTACGGCTCCAAGAAGTATAAGAATCCCGGTCGATACATTTATGGGGCGCTTGGTGGTGCGGATTACCATCAATTCCATGACAGCTGTCAGGTGCTCCTTACCGTGCCCGAGACCTTTGAAACGATGCTCCTGTCGCCCAAATACACGGATTGGGTGGAGCTGATCGACTATGTTATTCTGGACGAGATTCATTCGATGGAAAGCAATGGAAACGGTGACGTGTGGGAGCGCATCTTGGCTCTTCTTCCCTGTCCTTTTGTTGCGCTATCCGCCACGTTGGGTGAGACGCAGCAGTTATGCAGTTGGCTAAACCGAGTACAGGGTCGTTTGAAGGAACAGACAGAAGAGATGTCTGGCAAGATGCGTGACTTTGAAGTACATTTATTGCCCTCCGAGGGGAAAAGCATTCAACGGTGGAATGACATCAAGAAGTACATTTACCTTCCACCTCCTGGAGCTGCGTTGACGCAGAAAAAAATTAAGGCCCAGTACAACAATTGCTACATCAGGGACCTTCACCCGTTATCCATCCTCACGGCAGATCAGCTTCAACGTGGATTTCCCCCAGACATCTCACTTGTGCCAAGCGAAGTCGTGTCTCTCTTTGAGAAGATGCATTCAAAATTCAATGAGGTTGTCTGGCCCAATTATTCTTCATTGCAGTTGGCAAAAACCTTGCGAGCTCAATTGATGTTAATTGAACCAAGTAAATATTTCGAGGCAGAGACGTACATTACACAGGAACGTGCACGGCAGTACGAAGCCGAGGTGAAAAATGCTTTTGCATACTGGGCTTATTTGGGCCATGAAGGCTGCGAACTTCCGGAGAACCTCGTGGAGGAGGATTTGGATGACTTTAGTGCAAGCATGAATATGGCGGTGGAGAGTATTCTGCGTACCTTTGCCCAAAAACTGAACGAAGATGAGGCGTTACTTGAGCGCCACGCGGCCGATGGAATGGAAAAGAAGAAGCGCATGCTGCTACGACAACAACACCTACAACTACTACAACAACAAGAACAGGAAAACGAACCGAATCAGGAGGAGTCGATGGAGCAAAAGTCCGAGGAACAAGGCGGGGCCCAGGAAGAGGAGCAGGAAAAGGAGACCGTGGGCTCCGTCTCCTTTCCGGGATCGCGGCAGTTTATCCGGGAGCACATCTTAAATGTCTTGCGTGAACTCATAGCGCGGGATATGGGTCCCACAATAGTTTTCAGTTTTGAATCGGAAGACTGTGGCGACCTTGTAAAGTACGTTGTGGAGCAACTTGAAGAGGCCGAGTCACGCTACCGAAAGACAAACGAGTTCGCGCTATACAAAGCCCGCATAGAGCGCGCCGCTGCTGCTCAGGAAGCACGAAGAAAGCAGCGTGAGTCGACGCTCAAACAGAAGCGTCTAACGACTGGAGATGATGGCGACGTGGAAGTGGCGGATCGCGATATGAGTGATGGTGAAGGTGAGGATGAATTATTTGTTGTCCCCGATGTATTACCCGAGTTCACATTTATCGGCGAGAAGTGCACAGTGGAGCCTGAAGTCGTGGACTCACTTATGGAAGACTGTGAGAAGGAAGGGGAGGATCTCCTCCTTCGTGCCCTACAACGCGGTATTGGTATGCATCATGCCGGTGTAAAGGGCAAACTCCGGGCACATGTGGAGCGTCTCTTCCGAGGACGTCACTGTGGTGTTATTTTCTCCACAGAAACCCTGGCGCTGGGTATTCACAGTCCCTGCCGCTCTGTTGTCCTGGCGGGAGACCATATTCTTCTTAACCCCACGCAATTTCGTCAAATGATGGGTCGTGCAGGACGTCGCGGCCTCGATTATTTGGGCCACCTGGTATTCCTGGGGATTACCATGCGACGTATCAAACGGCTCATGACAAGCAGCATGACGGTCATCAAGGGGAACGTGCAGATGGACCCAATTTCCAATCTTCGTCTGCTTCAGCTTTACGATTTTAATACACTCCGTCATTTGAAGAATGAGGCAGGGTGGAAGACGCATGTATTAAAGCTAGCGGAGCGTTTATTTGTAAATCCACTTTTTTTTCAAGGACGCAATTCTGTTGCAGGAGGCAATATGGAAGGTTTTACAGTGGAGTGGTTGCAGATGTTGCTGGGATACTTCCAAAGGGAGGGATTACATTTCAGTGATCATGCTTCTTCGCTGGGTTCAATCCTACAAGATGCAATGTACGTTTTTCGGGAGGCCCATGTGGGCAATGAAGGGTTCAGCTTCATTCGTATGCTCACTTCGGGTGTCTTTGACAAGGCACACTACTCACCCCTGTATGACAAAAAACTGAACAGTGGTGTCCTGGATGAACCTCTTGCCGAGCTCCTTGCATATCTCTTTTCTACACACCAGACGTGTGGTGTGCCGCTGGAGATGCATCGTTCTGCTCTTCTTGACCCTGCCGTAAGTACTCTGTGGGAGGGTAAAACAGGTCCAACACAACACCGAGCCGTGCTCTCTCCCATTGACGTGTGTTCTCCCACTATACATGCTTTTGATAACACGGACTTTTTTGCGTTGCTCTCTGCCTTCTACAATTATTTGGCATCTCACCTGGCACCTCAAACCGGCGCCGCCCTCCGTCTTCCTTGCATGAAAAGCACCAATAAAAAGTGCCGCATTTTTGGAGGTGGGTCGACGGAGTTCCTACTCAAGCAGAAACTTCAGGAATCGTCCGTCCCATACAAGGCCCGATCCCCATTTGTGGCCATAAGTGGCTGCGGCGATCTCTTCACCTCCGTCGATGACGTCACATTTACGCTTCGTGACGGCCTTTATTGCGATCGGACTTTGCTTCCCATCCTCGACTTGGCGGACGGTTGGCGGCACGACGGGGCACAAATTCTCATCAATGCCTGTCTTTTGGACTTTCTTCGTGCAAAGGCGCAGATTGACACGACACGCAAAAACTATCGCTTCACTCTGCTGGAGGAACTCAACGGCCTCTCTCAGTCTCTTTCCTACGCCGTGCTGAACCGGGCCGAGAAGATTCTGTCCAACCTGGCCGGTTTGGTGCGACCAACCAAATTGCCGCGCGCGAAGGTGTTGACGGCCATCATGCCGGATGAGTCCGAAGAGGGCATTTTCATGGCAGGGGCACCGCGTCTGCTGGAGGTTGCGGAACGTCTGAATTCGCTCCAGCCACAAATCCAGAAACGGCTTGCGGAGGAGTTGCTCACAGCCAAGTGGGCAAAGAGGATAAGCGAGATGAACGCGCAGCGCAAAGATTAGCATAAAAAGCAGGAATTAGGTAGGAAAGGACCGCAAAAACAAGGAAGAGGGGCAGCCACGAGTCGATGGAGGAAGGGGTGCGAGGTAGAATTCTAAAGGTAAATGGAATGTACGCTTGGTGGCGCTGGGATGCGGAAAAAAATGAATCGCTGCAATCATTATAATGCAGTATTTAAATATTTTGGTGAATACAAAAATTATATTTCGATGAATTCCATGGTTGCAATTAAAATGTTTTAAATTGGCTGCGGCTACCACAATTATGGCGAATGTTTTTGCAGGTGTTGCGTTTATTGGCTTTTATCATTTACAATATTAAAGGAATTTTAATTTAAAAATTGACATGGGTAAACCCAACTGCCGGTGCCGAGCGCTAAGCCCGTTGAGTCAAAAAGACGAGAAAAACTAGCGTGTTCAACCCTTGTCTGGCCAAAACGCCGCCTTCGTGCGAAGGCGCTCGGCCACCCTATACCTAGCGCTTCCTTCCCTTCTTTTTTCTTTTTTTGCTTGCGTTTTTGTTCGCTCGCAAAAGGACCGTCAAAGAGTGAAAAGAAACGGTTGATTTAATCCCTGCCCGAAGAAATGGCGTCTGCTTGGGCGGAAACGCGTGTGACACCGCCTCGCCAGACGGCGCCACAACGCTCCAGATATCGTCGGTGCCATAAAGCGCCTGCAAACGACCCGTGGGCACCGCATTCGAAAGATCCAGCACAACCGCCAAGGGAGGGCTGAGGTTCGCCGTCACGTCGAGGGGCTCTCCGCAATCGCCCCCGCGAGGAGGAGCCTCCTCCTCCCTCTTCTCGCTCTTCCCCGCGCCAGCCGAATGCCGCCGACCACTCGCCTCCATTCGGCGGCTCCGTTCCTCAGGTGCGGGGCCACTCGCCGAGCTCGGCGCCCGTGCAGCGACTTCGACCGCTGCCACGTCACGCGGGGCCTCGCCCTCGCTTTGGCGGCTCCGCGGACGACCCCGCCCGCCCAGCTCGCTCCCCACCGCGGTGGAGGAAGCAGCCCCGCTCGCAAACAGCGCGGAACGACGCTTCCGCAGCGCCTCCGCATCCAAACCGCGGCGCCACCCGCCCGCCGTAGAGGCAGAAGAGGCGCTTTCCCTAAGCGACGCCGCGGCAGCCACCCCAGCCGTCCCCGCAGTCGGAGGCAGCCGAAGAGCGCAGGGGGCGGGGGACAGCTCGCGGGCCTCCTCTATGCGCTGAATGGCCGCCGGCGTCATCGCATTGCCCCGCGCATCAAGCAGCACCACGGGAGGCGCGCAGCGAGACACCAGCAGCGACACGTGCGCCGAGAACCGGTCCGTCAGGCCATTGTCATTGAGCAAAACCGTCCAGCGGCGCACGCCGTGGGACTTCACCATCTGCGGCGAGCCGAGCTTCAGAAGGGCCTCCGCCACCGCAATCGCCCCCTTGTCGCCGAGGCCCGCTCCAGCCAAAGAAAAAACTGCTGAGGCCACCGTCCCAGTTTCCTCCCTCCCGTCGCCACCGCGCTCGACCAGCACCCGTCGCATGATGGAGCGGACGCGCTCGTCGCCATGCACCTCTCCCTGCCGACGAAGCCCCGCAAGCAGCAAATCTGCGAATGCTTTTTCGAAGTCTGCCGATTGTTCTCGGCCCATGGCGGGTTTCTGCGCAACGCTCGCCAAAGTTTGAACACCAGGCCCCCGCCCTCGCAGCTGCAAGATCCAACGGAAGGGTGGCGATTTTCTCGTTCAAATCGCAGCAAGGGCGCGCAGCACACGAAAGGGATGTCCACTAAAAAAGGCACACGAAAGCACACACACACACACAAAAAAAAGAATTTGGGTGCTCAGCGCGCGTGCCAAATTAACCTTGTCAAAAAAAAGGGAAAAGAAGCGGTGCCCGCCACAAAGAGGGAATATCAACGAGGACGGCGTGCGGCGGTGAAGTGTGGGCAAAAGAAGCCGAAATGGCATATTAATTGCGGAAAATAGTCGCCAAACACCCTCTTAAAAATTTATTCGCATCCCTCAACGCGCGCTTTTTTTAGGGTAAATTCCCACGCGCCACAAGAGCGGTATAAATGCTTCTCATTTTGTTGTACCCTGCTGTTTCTTTTTTTTGTTGTCGCCCCACCATTTGCTAGGAATCATTCTGCTTCAGAATATGGTTGCATACAAGTTGCGCCGCCGTATCGAAGCTAACTGAGCCTTGAAGCTCATACAGTGGAGGTGGTAACGCCTCGTTCTCGTTAAATAAATTCTCGAGCATTTCCATGGCCGTTGTTTCATCATACAGTGAACGCAAAAGATAATGCCCTTTAAAAAGAGAGCCGCGCTTTGTCTCCGCGAGGGTTTTCAACAACCCGAGAGACTTTTCTTTGCTTTCCCACTTCATCACCTGCGGGTTAACGCGCGCATGAGGCATGGAAAGCTCCCGCACATCCCAATTGAGAAGCAAAATGCCCTTTAATCGAGCAATTATTGTCGGACACCAACGTTGACGGCCAAATGCCTCAGCAATGTGTATATGATGGCGCGCGCCCATGTTCCAAATTGTTAGCTCATTGTTTCGGATAAGTTGCTGAATTGTGGACGGGGAAAGTTGAAAGGTATGAGCCGCTTCCGCCAGAGTAGGGTTGGGACGGAGTGTCCCCAAAAGAGCCCCAACGCCCACTTTCACAGATGCGGGAATGCCCATGAGAAGCGCCGTAAACCCATCCAAGCTCGGTTTGATGTTCGCAAGGGTGCTTGAATCGGCAAGGTGAAAGTTCTCCAAACCAACGACGCGAAGACGAGGTGAAGGTGCCGCAAGACAGTGAAGCGCCAATGTTGTTTTACCACTTCTTCGCGGCCCTAATATTAACACTGCATCACCCTTTTCATTACACAGAGCAGCCCCATTTATCCAGAGTGCCCGATACATGGGAAGAACGGTGCTAGCATGCGCAAATTGCAGCAGACGGGTTACATCATCGGTTCTAAACTCCGTACTCTTTGGATCTGGAACGCCAAAAATTCCCCAAGAAGTCAAGAGATCATTTGCAAAGTAGTATGGAGATACGTCACTTGGCGCAAGTTCCAATTGCAGTCGACGAGCCGTCGATAGAGTTTGCGACATGTTAGTACATGCTAAACCCACATGGGCTACAACCCGACGAGAAACAAAACCGTCGAGAAGTTGCTGTGTGATCCATCGTGTGGAGTGTGGACCCACCGCCGTGTCCGTTTCTTCCCAAGCTGCATATTCTTCGCTTCGGCGAACGGCTTCAGTGAAATTATTGACTTCCGAGACAAGGGTGTAAGGGTATCCCAAAGATTTCGGCGGCCCGACGTGGAAACAAACATCGGCATTGGTGCGATCATTTTCTGGTCCCCCGTTGCTAGATTTGGACTGGAAAAAGCCGAAGTATTCCAATTGAAACCATCGAAGCAGTTCCTCATGGCTAGTTCCCACCTTCATGCGCACTGGGGGCAATGGACTCCCGTCAACCTCAAAAGAAGCCGATGGTAAACATATTTCGCCAACATGTGGGGTCACCAACTGACGCCGTAACGTCTTGAAGCGTAAATGTCGCCAATAGCGGGCTGCAGCCGCAGATTTTTCTCGCACCTTGGCTCCGATAACCATCTTTTTGGTTATTTGAACCTCCCTCAGCGGGAGCTGGGTGGAGAAACAGAGTAATAAAGGAAAAAAGGAAACATTCAATCAGTGCATCACACACACACACGCATGAACATAAGCACACATATGCACTCCTCCCTTTTTGGATGTTCCACTCCCAACTCACCCCATTCTGTTGCACCTTCCTCTTGCTATTGTTGCCGAAGTTGTTTTGTTGTTGTTGTTTGTGAGACGCTATTTGAATATTCTTTTTGGGTTAACACACACAGACACACCGAGAAATATATACACATATGTGTAGAAAAAAAAAAAAAAAAAGCCCCACCAAGTAACAAATCTTATACAAGCAGTGAAAGCCATCCTTTCCCCTTGGTCCCAGAAACCATTGCGAAGAATCCGTTAATACCTACTACTCTTCTGTTGTGAAGATAAAGGTCGAATTGCTTCTCAGCCGTGTGCTTAAAGCCGAATGTTGCATTTCAAGCATAAGTTTCTCTTTTAACCGGCGTTCCCCGCACCTTTTCTCTTCATCCGTCTTTTCCTCCCACAATGTGTAGATAAATGAACCCACGCACAGAAAAACAATCGCCAATAGACTCAGGTACCATGGCGTGTAACCCTTCTCCAAATTCCACTTGGGTACAATGATAAGTATTAGGGCTGTAAAAGGCGATGAAAGTTGACCAATCATGGAACATAAAGTGACACTGTATTGGTTGAGGTAGGCTGAACCAACGTACGTAAATAAAAACCCCAGGGTATACACCATACAGTAAAGGGAATTTTTACTAGAATGGAATACAAACCGAATTCCTTCATAGAAATTCGTCCATGCGTCATGTACACTTTTACTGCCTCCCCACCAAGGAATGGCGTCCATAGGAAGAGTGAGCATAATTAAAACGAATTGAATCGTCGTGCCGCAAGCCAGCATGACAAGTTTCACAACGGTGTCGGTACCCTGCATACTTTGCGTAGAGGGTATCTCAATTTCTCCAAAACGATGCCTTTCGCCGTTGGAACTCTCTGGCGCATGCGTCGTCTCACAGGGAGAGAAGGCGGCATCGCCATCATTTCCGTCAGCGTTGAATTCTTCTTCGCCGTTCTTTTTAACTGAATCTGAAAACATCATACTACCTCGCCGTGGACGACGAGGTTGTGGGGGGAAAAAATGACTTTCTTCGGGGGAAGGATCATACGTAAACTGAATCATGTACAAATTTTGCCAGATGTTCATCAACACCGTGGGTGGAACGGAGAAGAAAAAGATCAAACTCCACCATGCCTTCCCTTTTGAATCACCCCCAAAGCCATGTGCAAAGTGGTACGCCGAGGCCACCACCACCCCAGAGACAATAAGGAAGAAGGATGTGAGGATCCAAACATTCCAATATTTCCTCGTGTCTTCTAGAATCCACTTGGTAAACCCCGCGGCATAGACTGGCACAAGGCTTGTAAACAAAGCCTGTAGCACTTCAGGTGTATGCGAGGCGGCATATATGGCCATGTAACTGTTCACTGCGTCTGCTAAACCAATAAGGAATAATATTCGCCATCCGCAAGCACAACGAAGATATGCAAGAGATGGCCTTGCAACAATAATGTACACCACCAACATAAAGAAAAAGATTAATCCAAACAACAAGGAAGAAACGGCAAGTGTGGTAAAATTCCCTGGTGCCCCATCCTTCGGGAAAGAACGAAGCCAAAAATTCAGTCCTACGACTTGCATTGCATTTCCGCTTGTCACAAGAAATATGAGGAAGAGCACCCAAGCGATACGCGATGGATGTGTACGGCGCACCCTTTCCAGAAACTTTGAAAACACAGCACCAACGGATGAATATCCTTCCTCTTCAATAAACTCTTCATTTTCAGTGCGAAACTCATCGTCGTTCCTCTCACCGATAGACGCATGGCTTATTGAATGTGCATGAGAAGATTGCTGGGGGGAATTGCCCCCGTCTCCTGCAACCATCAACGGCGAAAAAGGCGGGTATACAACACCACCCTCTTCAGTATTTCTATTTCTATTTCTCTTCCTTCCTTTTTTTTTTTTCTTTTCTCTCCCTGGCCTTTCAACGCAGCCAAACACACAAACAAAAAAAAATATAAAAAATGTATGACCTTCAACAGTCCTCCACGTCACACAAAATCCCTTTTTCGCTTGCACTTATAATCCATTAGGAACGACAAGAAGAAGAAAAGGGGGAATCAAATCGAAGTTTTCCAGGGATAATTCCCCCTCGCAATCAAGTGAGAAGGAGGCGGGTGAAAAAAAATAATAATAATAATAGTAAGAACTCACTTTACACAACACTTCACATTCAATCGGCAAATTTTCTTCTCCCCTCTCCGCCGCTCTTCCCTCCCACGCAATTGGCAAAGGCACCAAAACAATAATAATAGTAATAATAATTGATAATAAAACGCAGCGGCCATATCCAGCACGACATAAAGTCAGGGGGAAAAGACAATTCGTACGCAATCAAACCTTACTCTCCCCCCCCCCCCTATATTCCCTGCCTCCCTTTTACAAATCCACAGCACTTCCTGACCTCTTCTCCCACCAAAGCAGTCTCCGCAGCTTCTCCCCCTTTTTTACTCCCACCGAATTTTTTTTTTTTTTAAAGCATCATTACCGGGGAAGGGAATCCATGTGTCTCAGCAGCTGCACCACCTCATGTGCAGCCGTCTTTGCCTCCTGTTCAGAGCCCACACCGGCTAAAAATTCGTAGCGCAATTTGAGAGCTAAAAGTCTTTCCAGCGAATTATTTCCATAGTTTTCCACAAGTGCTTTTTCGGCCGATGAAAAAAGGCCCGTTGCGTATAAATAGTCCCGCATATCCGCATAAAGAGATGCCATTGCGAGAAGTGTCCATCCTGCCTTGGGGTTTTGTTTGTGTTCCGGGTAAAGAGTGCGGTTAAGCTCAAGAGCTCGTTCAAGAGTCTCACCTGTCCGCTTGCGTATGAGGTCAATGGCCATGGATGCCGGTTCTCGCACTTCGGAAAAGATGATATCTGAGGATGTTGACACGGTACAAATAGGAGACATGGTAAACAATTGATTGGGAAGAAACACGGGAGTATCATGCCGCGATGTTCCCGGAGGTCGTGGCGCACCCAACAAAAATGTACCGTAGCTCAGCAAGCATGATGCATATGCATCCGTCTCAAACCGTCGTTCCTCAACGCCGTCTGCAGACATTATACCGTCCGCATCTAGTGCGGTGTTATAAGGTGATGAGTAAAATTTGGCAGCAGCCTCAAACATTTCCATAACACCTTTATCCACTTCATTGGGGCTGACGGACCAATCAAAGACACGTGCCGCCATTTCTGCCTGGGCAAGCATAAAAAGACCTAACTCCGGCTCCTGTTTACGAGCTAGAAGACCGTCCAAGATCGGCTGCTTCCTTCGCAACGACTCATAAACAAGCTTGGCGGCCTCATTGATATGTTCTTGAGCCTGTCCAAGGTGTCCTGTGAAAGGGATTGTAAGAATACCTTTTATCAACAGGAGCTTGGGCACATTCCAGCGAAGGTCAGGATTCTTTTCAGCATGAGTCTCAGCCGCCTTACGACTTAATTTTAACAGCTCATCGACACGATCCATAACCATCGGTAGCGTGAGAATATTCTCTCCACTCTCCTTTGCCTCATCCATCACCATTGACCAGGCAGAAATATTGCCATATTTTTTCTTGATTCCATCCTCTTGCTTTGTATGGAAAGGTTTCTGATGTAGTGCGCAAAAGGCGCGAACAAAATGAGCAACAATAACACACGCAGTGTCTATTTGCTGTACATCCGATTTATCCCAGTAATCGTTAAAGAAAAGAAGACCACCCGCTTGTTTAAGAATCATACGATAAATATTAACATGCTTAGCGTACTCGGAACGAGGTAGATGCTCGACACCGTTAAGGAGTTCAAATTTCACTGCAGAAATCGACCGTAAAACATCAGCAGTGGAGAAATTTTTGAGTCCACCCACGTTTTTCATGATCTCTTCCGCACGATCTAATAAAGTAAAAGCCTTGTCACAGCACTTCCCCCACTCTTGTGTGCTCATGGCGTTGGGTTTTGACCATCGCCGCTGAGAATTTCCCTCCGCGGGCTGAAGCAACGCCAGAGCGTCCTGTAACTCCGGTACGCCATTCGGCCGAAGGTGCACGCGTGGTTGAAATCGAGGGAAATAAAAGGCCAGATCTGTCGCATGCATAAAGTTCTTTGGGAGACATGTATCCGTAATTGCCGTTAAACACCTATAGGTAGGGTTAAACATTTCGCCAATATACAAAGAAAAATCACTGTGTTTTCTGCTGATTCCAGGAAAGAAAAAAATGTCAACGTGGTGTATTTGAAGTAGTGATGCACCTCAATCCACCTGCCAGGCGTATTCTTCTTGCACTAGTGCCTGGCTGTCTCGGCTTGTGAAGAATATCGCGAGGCCACCAATAAAAATATCCGGGCAAACCAAAGCAAAAGAAGAAAAAAAAGAAAAAATAAAATAAGTATTCCCAGGAGACTGATTTTCATGCGTACTACTTTTGAGAAACCAAAAAACAACAATAAAGAAAGGCAAAGCAAGGCGGAATATCAACCTCATAATTATCGCTCAATTCATTCTCTTTTTCTCTCTTTTCTCTGCGTGTCTGCTCGCTCACTGCGTGAACCGTAGTTGTACCTTGTCTACCGCATTGTCGCTAGCGACAGCAGCTTCATCCGCGTAGTCCCGCTTGTGACCTCCCTTAATGGTGGCAACTTGTCCTTTCCGAATCAATTCCACGCGTTCCCAAAAGAGCTGCTCATCGCGTGACATTTCCCGCCGCTGCTCCTGACGAATGGCATCATCGTTGAGGGAATTATCTACACGGCTCTCGAACTGAATGAGTGCGGGAAGGAAAAGTGGATGCACAGATCCAATTGGTATCGATGTGGGGTCAACATCCTTCTCATCCAGCGCCGTGACACATGGCCCCTCCTCATTATCTGCGCTTGCCCTCTTCGTTTCTCCCATGAAAGCTTCACTCTTCTTTCCACCCGATTCACTATGCATGACCGCTGCTGCATGTTTATACTTCCCAAATTGAACAAACTGCATCCATGGTGTTGCCGCCTCGTGTTTTAGCGCCTCAAACGCCAACGGTTGAAGTGTGTTAGCATCCTCGTCATACCAGTGCTCTAAATGCGCCTGTGCGCGCAGCTGCTGGTTGTGGGATAAACTCCGGTTGAGTGCTGCCTCCTTTGCCGAGCGTATCTTCCGCGTGGCATCCCACAATGCCGCTTTGATGCTCTCGGCAAGTCTTTCAAAATCTATGGGCGCCGCACTTTCCCCCCCGACAGGAGTACTCTCTGCATGACTGCTGGATGGTGCGCTGTCCATATCCGCACCCGATGGGGATGGGTGGCCCTTGCGGTAAAACGGCTCCCACGCCGTCTTGTCAACGAGGCGTACCGCAAGCACGGTGCCGTAGCCGCTACAAACCACTTCCACGCCCCGGCAATGGCCCGTGAATCGTCGCCGCACCAACTCCCGGTGGGAGCTCTCGAGCATCATCCTGTGCTTCAGTGCACCCACGAGGCCATTCGTGTATCGAAACGACATGAATGAAAAAAGGTAATTAGAAGAAAGCGGTGAGAAAAAAAGCGGACGAGTACTCCTCTCCCAAGCGTGTTCTTCTTTTTTTCCCCTCTACCCAATGAGAAGTCCCCCGCAGTTCTTTAGACAGCGGAAAGGAAGTAGGAGAAAAAAGAGGAAAAAAAAATGTGGGAAAACGGAGCAAGGTAAAAAGAGTAAGGGAAAAAAGAAATATGACGAGGCAAATAATAAAAGCGGAAAAAAAAATGTATTTGAGTGGAGGGCAGTTTTGTTATTGTTCTTGTCTTTGGCCTCTTGTTCTTGATGCATCACCCCGCTTTATTTATGATCCCTCCATACAGCCTTGTGCAACAGTACGGTAGCTAATATGTTTATATCATTGTGGGAGGGAACGGTGTCACATCACCTGAAACTCGACAAGAAGACCAAAGTGGTCAGAGGGGTACAAATACTCGGGGACAGCCTTGTCGCAGTTCACCTGCTTCGTGATCCCAAGCGCACGTACAGAGGTAGTGCCGACAAGTTCTGCGTGGATGGGCTGCAAATGGCGGGAGGCAAACAACACACGATCGGCACGACCAAAAAACTCCCGCTCGATGATTTGTCCCGCGTATGGATTGCGATCTCCGTCGATGGTGTACCCTTCATTCTTGTTATTCTCTGGGTTAAGCAGCGACCAGGCGTCTTTAAAGCCCAGCTCGGGTGGAAACGTAAAGTAATTATTCGCATAATCATTAAAGTCTCCCATAACAATTGCGCCGGTCGACACACCACCGGCAGAGGGGCGTGCGCGCATCCGTTTCGTCAGGTTTTCCAATTGTGTTGTACGATTGCTGACATTGTTTTTGTTGTATGGTGCAAGAAGATGAAGTGAACCAATTGTCACTGGAACATTTTTGGAAACGGTAATCGTAACTTCTGGCATCACACTCGTGTGTCCTGCAAAAGCAGCCACATTTGCATGATGCATCCCTTCCACACGCAGGTGTCGCTTTACAAGCAGCATGACACCCCAAGGGCGAATGGCATGACTATCTTCATTACAAGAAAGCGCATACCGTTCCCTTACCCATTGTTGTTCACAGAGGTATTTACACCACGCCGGCTCCACTTCCTGCATACTGATCACATCTGCATCTAGGGTTTCCATTGTCTTGGCAAGCGCAATGTACCGTGTTGGTGTGCACCAATCAATACCGTCTCGGCCCAGTGGAGTCCGCTCACCACTGTGACGATTGAATTGCACATTCCACGTTAAAACCCGAAGCGTCGAAAGCTCCTCCGTTGGCGTTGGTAACACAGGAGAGTGAATTTCTCCACATGGTTCCTCACTCCAAACACCATTCTTATCAGCAGCATACACAAAAAGCGTGTTCTTCGAGGCCACACCAACCCCATCCAACACACGTGATGTCGCCGCTGATGCTCCAACGCCAGTGCGATATCGTACCCCAAATCCCGCAGCTCGCACACCCAAGTTGATGCTTTGGTACGACCACCCCGGCGGAGGACCACGGCAACCGGGTGTGCGTACAAAGTAATGGGATGGATGATGATCCAGTGCGGGGTGATCTTTCACAGCTCCACCGCCCTCTTCCGAATTATTGCCCTTAATTACCTGTAAAATATTACGTGTCTTTTGAGCGGCTTCCATGACATTCTTTGTGCTAACAATGTCGTCTGCAATACCAGCGGGCAACGAATGCCCCCTCGTAAAGACGGGAACAATCTGTTCAATCAATTCTGCCCTGGGTGCAGTCAAAAGGAGGGTTTCTAAACCCGTAAGGGCAAATGTCCAGTCAACAGACGCCTCAACACCGGCAGTGAACCTGCACTGCTCCTTTTCAATCGCTGTTGTCTTTTTCTCAGCACCGTCTCCCTGGACTTCTCCTCCTCCTCCTCCTTTTCCCCCCTCCCGAGTTAATGTGGTCAGGTGCTTTAGGTGAGCAAGGAATCGCTCAATAGGGATCTTCGGAGGTTTCTCTGGGACACAGTCGTTATCATCCGGGGTCCAACGAAAATTCCTGATTCCGCCGCCACATATCATGGCATGAGTTTGTAATAGAACTTCAAGATAATCTGCAGATTGTTGACATGGCTTCGGTGAACCCCCCGTTTTGCGAGTTGCACGCGACAAGACTCGTTCCAATACAGCTGAAGACAACAACAACGAGGTACCATTAGGCGTTTCTTCAAAAATGTGTTCATGGCTGGCCCCAGCACTTTCCTCCGCCATGTAGGCTTCCATCAGCTCCTTAAAATTGACCCCTAAACCACTAAGATCCGTAGCGGAAATGCCATTTGCCATCAGGTACAACAGCACAATGTCAGTGCGCACTGCCGCAAGTCGTTTCTGTAGTTCTTGCCGCCCCGTCCCCTGGTCACCTTGTGTAGCCGCTTCACCCTTCAAAAGATGGTCCATCGCGAGCCATTCGAGAGACTCACTCATGGAGAGAGACTTCATTTCACCCTGCTGAAGTGTGAGAGTCGTAATGTTATGGAATGGTGTGGCCCCGAGGGCAGAGAGAAACAAGTCCGTTCCACCAATAAGACAAATTGTATCATTGAACGTAACCTCCGCTGGTGTGCTAGACAAAAGAGGCGGCGAAAGGGTTACCGCGCCATCTGGCAAGGCCCGAGAAGCAAGATCCAGCATCCATGCCGACATTTTGCCCTCAACCGGCCCAGGAACACCAGCACCGCTGATGACAAACTCCTTCGGTGGCGTCCGCAGATCCACAGCAACCTGCCGGAACTTGTCCTCCAGCAGGTACACCATTGGGGAGGCCGCACTACGGTAAAATTTTCCTTCAAATTTTTTTCCTGGATAAAGCCGCATGTGGCGAACCTTCCAGAGCGGCTCACTGCCATCAATAAAAATAGCAAGGGATTTTTTTGGTTGAATGCGACGCAGAATGACATTCGTGACCTGCCGGTGGAGCACCTTAACGGTCTCCGCATCACGATCCTGCCCGATAAGATCCCGCGTCAGGCGTCCTGCCGCACCTGCAAGAGCGCCCATGTCGATGGCAACGTGGTCGAACCCCCACCCACTGCGGTTAAGGACGTTGTTGAACTCCTCGGATATCTTCGGCGAGGTACGAAAATCCGCCGTCCAGAGAATCCGGCAGCGCTGAAGCATTCAAAAGGAATCAACAAGAAAAATAATAATAATAATAAATTAAGATTCTACTGTGAAGTAACAAGCGCACGTGAGTCTGTGTGTATGTGTTTGTGCAGCGTTAAAAAAAATAATTCCTGAGCTAACTAAATTCAGGTTTCCCTTTTTCCTTTTCCGTCTATTTCCCTCTCTGGCAAAAAAAAAAAAAAAACAATAACAACAAAATAATAATAATATTACTCCAATGGAGGAGATGATTTGAATTAAATATGTCTTCTGTCCGTCTGCCACCACCACCACCACCCCACACCCTTTTTCACACTCGCTCTCTCTCCACTGTGCTCTGGGAGTCGCATTGATATCCATGACAGCAGTAAAAAGAGAAGATAAATTGCCAGAAACCCGCAAGCAACCTCAGTGCGTTGATGCATACATTGCCAGGCAAAAAATGCACGCAAACACATCATACCACGCAACAGGATAACGCACGCGCACACACAAAAAAAGATTAAATCCCCACCGCACTCCTTTACACACTGCACCTCCTCTTCCTCCTCTTCTCTCTTTTTTTTTTTTTTTTTCAAAATCCCATTTTTCTGATGAGGTCTTCTTGACATCGTTCACGTGCTTTTACTCATGTCCACCACAACCCCTCCCTTCTCCAACATCTTCACGGTCCACGCAGCAAACAACACGAGAAAAAAAAACAACAAAAAAAAACTTCGTTGTTATTTTTCCTGTGGGTTTGGCGTACTGAAAATCAGGAATCGTGCGTAGTGCGACATGTTTGTCTGTGTGAATCTGTGCGTGCAGTGCAATCTGTGGGAATGTGCCGTGGTGGTATTACCCTTTGAAGAAAAATTACGTCTCATAGTCGCCCCCTTAGCCGTGTCACATACACGCACACACACAAAAAGGAAAAGACACAGAGATACTCTTCTCCTCCCTTTAATTTATTCGTTTTAATTATTAGAAAATAATTCTATTTTCGCAATTCCGTGCATTTAATTCCCATCCATTGTCCAAAAATAAAAAGCCGTCGGGCATTAGAAGCGCTGGTACGTATACGATCCTGTTGTCTTCTCTGCCAGCACCTTACCATCGGTTTGCGCCGTCACCTCAACCAACGTCACGCCCCGTTCTCTATTCAACACACGCACCCGCAACTCACCGGAGAGCGTCTCACCGCACTTAAGTGGCAGGGGTTGAGGCAGTCCAACACTTGTCTCCGTCCAGGCATTGTTACCGCCGGGACGAATGCCAATAACAAAGTTGGCGCCAGGATCATGTGGATTTGTGAAGGTGGCGTCAACAAAAAACGTTAGATAGTTCACTGTGGTGTTACGCGTTGCCCTCACGCTGAATGGGACCGTAAAACCACTTTCATCTGCGTCTTTATTATCGGCATCCCTAAATTCTGTTATATTGACAGTGTGAATCAAAGAAGTACTCGTGACAATATTTGAGGCAGGAATAGCGCAAGTTTCAACCTCTTGTCTTACAAGTCCCTTCATCGGCTCCATTTTAAAGCCATAGACGTTACTCCAATATTCCACCGTGTCCAGATAAAATGCATAGTCACTGACACCAACAATGTGAATAGACGAACCATCCGGACACATGACGCCATTCTCTGCAAGTAAATGTTCCCGAGCAAAAAGAGCATCCTCCAGAAGCGGATCGTTGACGAGAAATGTACCCATCCATTCGCATAAAATAACATCAAACTTCTTTACGGGAAAATTTCCCATCATTTCACGCAGAGATCCACGAAAGAAACTAATGTTCTGAAGTCCATTTTGTTTTGCCACCACCTGTGCTGCATCAACGATGGCTGAGTGATCAATCGCCACAACAGCCGATGCTAGATTACGTGCTGCCATCAATGATATCAGTCCCATTCCACACCCAATGTGAAGCAACGACTTCCCCTTGATGCCCTTCAAGACAGACTGGTATGCGCGTAGGCGAATTCGATCGCTAATGCTATATAAATTGCTTGAAATGCGTGCGGCGGGATCCCCGTAGAGGCTCTTCGACGTCGCATTCTTTTCACCCTCGGTGGCAAGAAGCGACTCATTCGCAACGGTCCGTGTGAGTGGCGAACAAGCTCCATTGGTCACATTCTTTGTGTTAAAAACTTTTTTCTTCCTTTGTTGGCCCTGACCCAACTCGTACGGCGGCAGATTCTTCCTGGAAGGCATGTTTTTCTTCTGTTGCTTACTTGGATTCTCGTAATGAAACAAATTGACGGTTGTTTTTTTCTTCTTATTATTTGGTTTCGTTTCGTTTCTTGCGTGCGTGCAAGCGTGAGGTGATGGGGAGGGTCCTTTATACTTTCACCTCAAGAGAACACAACGGGAATGAGACTCGAAAAGTAAGAAAAAATAAAATAAAATAAAATAAAATGCGGGTCGCATGATTGCCGCAAACACAAATCAAAACAAAACAGGTGCATATTGCATGCATGCATTTTGAATACTCTCCCCGCAGCGACCCGATAAAAGATATTCAAGTAATTCTCCTTTACCCAATACAATTTCATGATGGCCCCACAGGGCCTTCAATGTTGGTGCTTATTTGGGAGATAACTTTCTTGCAGCATTTCTTGCGGACAGTTAAAGCGTGAGTCGCATCACTCTCTTCGCACGACGACATCAATGACGGTGAGAATCGCACAAAACATTCTCCGCAACAGGGACAAGCCGCCTGGCCAAAAAGAAGTCTCGCACGCCTCTGAAGCACTCACCAAAGTTGCGATTCACATGAATGGAGGGCTGCATCCACGACGCAATACGGCGTCGTATATCGGGCCGTTCCCCGTAACGTGCATCAAAAAGAATAGCAACGGCGTAATCATCCGCGTGACGAATGCAGCGACCCATGCTCTGGTTCACAGTGCGTATGCAGAGATCTGTGAAGAGGCTCCACTCTGCAGAGGAATTAAATGGGACAGATCTGTCAATCGTAACGGTATCCACAGCCAGCGTCTTGGATGCCGCAAAGCCTGCATCTCTCAGCAGACGTGTATTGGCGATGTGGCTTAGATACAATTGCAGCTCAACATCACTTGGATTGGCGTACGGCAGTCCCACAACAATCACAGCGCGGCCAAGTTCATCGTTAAAATTAATGCCCTCTGAAAGCTTCCCGCCCATGACGGCAAATAAAAGTGCCCCTCCCGAACCCTCCGTGCCAATCCATCGGGTGTATTCCGCCAGCATAACATCCACAGCATGGGACAATGACTTCCCTTCAACACCGCTGTTAGTAGCGACTTTCGAAGAGGCCAAACGACCCGACTCACGGAAAATACGTTTCACCTCGTTAATTTTATCATAAAACCCGCTCCTTTGTAAGAATCCATGAAAGAGTTCTTCAACATCATACGAGGCAAAAAAAACAATCATCCCATCGGGTATGACACGGCAGAAATTCAGTAAAGCGGCGGCAATTTCTTCAAACTGACGATTCCACTGATGACGCGTCGCATGTTGAAGCTCCACACGATGCCCACTTGGACCAGAACCCAACGTAAACACCGCAATGGAGGACGACGGTACAATATGGCCTTCCTCGATAAAAAAGACTTTCTTCTCCGTCAAGGACTGTCCCGGTTTGTTCTCCAAGTTCATCATGCTCTTCTTTTCCTCTGTGGTGGCTGAAGGAGCAACATGTGGGTTGGGAGGTCGTAATAGCAAGTCACATGTCAGGGCCATTGGCTTCATGGTGCCACCAGCCAGCACAGCCGCCTGCACTTGCCGTAACAAGGGGAAGAATGTATGTGTCCCAGGCTCCAATTGCAGCAATTGAAGTAAAACCGCCTCGTTTGACTCGCTTTCCTTCTCCACCGGTACTCGACGCAACACGACGCGTGTATGCTCATCAGAGCGGCTGTACCATCGCAAAAAAGCATCAAATCGGTACAATGCACTCGTCACGGACTTGGAGTTATACTCAAAGGCCAAAAGAGACAAATTATTTGATCCATCACGGAAGGTTTCACTCACTGCGGAATGACTGATTCCACCGTTCTGCTTAATTGGCCCTAATGGAATTGGCACATGCTGTTTCTGCTCTGCATGCTCCTTTTTCTGCATGGACAGAAATGCCACAAAGCCGTGCAGTTTCGTTAAAAGACGACTCTCATTCAAAAAAGCCAAAAAGCGATAAACATTTACGTTGTCCACATGAGCATCAAAAACAAAAGAAGAAAAATTCCACACCTCTGCCGCCACTGAATTTGTTTGCGTCACGGACTTCATATGGAGGTACCTTAATAATTTATCGACAAACAGCACCATCTCGCGAATACGTTGTTTATTGCGTGTGAGAAGCCGCTTCTCGTAGCGGGTGTAGTACGCATCCAGTAGTCGACGCACCAGCGACAAGTCTGGTTCCGATACCGTGCTGGACGTGGCACTGCGGCAGAAGTCCACAAGATTGTGTGCCTCATCCACAGCAATCACATCACCAGTGAAATTGGGAGGTAAAATGGACCCCCTCCTCAGTGTCATGTCATTATGCACGTGTGACGCAGCCGCGTTCCCATCGAGGCCCTGATCGGTCGTTACTTCCTCCATATTGGCCACCGTTTCACACTCATTCGTTGCTGTTCCCGAGAGCAACGCGTACCGCATCTCGGGCGACACCAGATAACTGTAGGGAATCAGAACAACGTCCGCCCCACGAAGCAGTTCGCGGGTCGCGAGAAAAGGGCAAGCACCAACTCTCTGTCCAATTTCCCGCATCTCTGAAATTCCCCGGGGTGAAATATCGACGTAGTCCCTTAGAATCTTCAACCGCTCTCTCCGGCAGTAGCCACATCCCTTCGGCACTTCGCCCAACGGAACATTCTCTTCAATGTCTGGGAGAGAAGAGCACTTATTTCTAATTTCATGCTCTTTACGCGCTTCACGGCCCTCTTTGGAGTATTCATATTTCATTGCTTCCAGACACAGCTCGTTCAAGCGCTCGTTGTTGTTTCCTGCTGCATTCGTTAAAAGGGAATTTATGCAAAGCTGCTGTCGTCCAGCAACATGAACGTATCGGAGCATGTGCGGTGCCTCATCCAAAGCAGGTTCCAACGGCTCCTCCATTTGCTCACTACCAATGGCAACATGCTGTCGACGACGAGGACGCACAGGGTACTTTGCAAATACGGTGCGACGGAGTTCCTCGGTGAGTTGTTGGAGCTGCGTGTGGGTGCGACTAGAAAAGTACACTTTCGGTTTTTGCAGCCTCAACAAGAAAGGCTTCCACTCAGCAACATTCTCTTCCTCCTCCTTAACACTTCCTATAGATGAAGAACTTGACGAGAAACATGATGATGCGCCACCCATTATTTTATGCTGACGCTGTCGTTCACAGGCCTCCTCATATGTGTTCTGCTCCAACAAGAACGCGTCTTCGTCGACTTCGTTAGTAACGTCCTTCATTTGTTGATTGACGCTTGTCGTTTGCCTCCGCTGCCTTTTGTGACCGCGTCCAACCACCTCTGCTGAGGGAGGCGGTGGCGCTGCGTTTTCCAGAGACGGTAAACTCCGCTTCTGTAGCGATGCTGTATCCTCTCCTTCAGTGTTCAGGACGGGTTCAAACACATGCGAGAGCACACTGTTGAGAAGAACTTGCGTCTTGCCTGTCCCTGTGGGTGATTCAAGTACAACGACGTCCCCTCCTGCCAAGCCGTCCCGAATAGCCCCCATCGCATGCAGCTGCAGGGGGTACGGCTGAAAGGGGAAAGGCACACGAAAGGAACCGGCATCATACATCACCTCACTTCAAACACATCGTGGCGGGGGATCACCATACAAATAGAGAAATCATTCAGGATAACGAGAGAGAGAAAGTGAATAAAAAGGGGGAAACAACAACAAAAATACATATAAAGAGAAAGAAAGCAAGAAAGAAGAAGGGAAAAAAAAAAAACGCAACCTAAATATAAAACGTCAATTTGCATTGAGATAGCCGTTGTTTAGTCCATCTAAAACAGAGCAAAAAAAAAAAAAAAAAACTGGCATCATAAGAACTCAGAAGGCTTTTACGCATCGTTTATGGCACCCTTCCGTGTGAGTGTGCGTGGGGTCAAAGGATCCTTTGGAAGTAAAACAACAACAATAGCAACAAAGTAACAATAATACATGCAACAAACAACAACAACAAAAACAGAGTGCCACAGTTCAATAATATTACAAATAAAATACGACATACATACACACAATAAATAAATAAATAAATAAATAAATTTCACGAGTAAAACCCAACAAACAAAAACAAAAAACAAGTGTAAAAAAAAAAGACAACAACAAGCCCCATAATGAGGCCGAAGAAACATATAAAAAGCAGTAAGTACCCATATACGTACTACCCTGTAACTTGTAGTGTCCACAGAAAGAAATATACATAGCCCCTCTCTCTTTTTTTTTTCTTTTTTCTTTTTCTTTTTTCTTTCCCATTCTTATTTCTTGATCCTCTCCAGGAATTATAAAAAAAGAGGGAAAAAGACAAAAACTAAAAGTAATAATAATAATAATAATAATAAAGCAAACAAACAGACAGAAAAATACGCAAAAAAAATAAAATAAAATAAAATAAAATAAATAAATAAATAAACAAGAGCTGAAACACAAGGAGCATCTCAAGTTAACGCCTCTTTCCCGGGATTCCAGTTTCCAGCCGTGTAGGCAGGGAAGATGCCTGTTCGATCCTTTACGTGACGGTAATTCCATGGGGACTCGGAACGCATTTCATCGGAGTCCCTGTCGTGGTCGTATTGATGGAGTTGACTTGAATACGTGTTGTTGAGTATTACCCCGCTAATTGGTGACAACTTGTCACATTCACAAGGAATTGGTCGAGCGCGATTGTTCCCGTCAACCGTCGTAGCCAAAATCAATACATTATTGGCCTTAATGGTGCCTTTTGCATTCACCCCAGGGAAATCTACCGAAACAACACATCGGCTATCGACAAAACTCGTCACCATGTTCATGAGTGGTTGATGGTACAAAATGTACTGCTTTTGTTTTCGTGGTGGTATTAAAGGAAGGAAGGTGTAGCGATTAAAATCAACTGAATCGTTCTCGTGCGGCTCAAGGGAGGAGTACGGGAAAAAAAGTGGCGGCCGAATAGAAGCCACAAACGAACGTTCCTCACCGGGATGAATAATCTCTGAAAATATGAATGGTTCTCCGACATTCACACGACGAACGCACTTGACATCCTGCAGCTTCATTTCAACAACATTTTTAATTTGCACACGCACAGTCTTCAAAACGGTTTGAGTGTCGTTAAAAACCCTGACGTCAACTCGTATTTCGCCATTATCGCCATAGGAATTTGCCAACCCCACGCAATCTTCCATGAGAACCACGGTGGGGCTAATAGACACCTCCGTGAGGACAAATCTCCCCTGGCGGGGGCATAAGAAACGTTCCATGACGTGGTATTGGGGCAGCTCCGCATACGAGACCAGTGCTGCCTTCATTCTTTCCTCCATCCATTGCCGCCGCTGCATCTCGGGAATGGCGGACAGGACATAGAATTTTCGAATACATTTTACATCAAAACCACTAGTAATATCAACAGACACCTTTGCTGTGTATGTCGTGCGCACCTCCGAGACACCACGAGAATCTCGCACGTCAAAACTGGGAGGCAAAAAGACTGGTAAAATCAACTCAAACATGTGTGTGTATGTCCCTGGAAGCAATACATCGGCCTGACGCATATCCGCCTCCACTTCATCGTCCGAGTCAGGAAAAAGAAGTGAAGGAGAATCTAACGCGCCATTATTATTAGATACATCCCTGGCAAGTGCGTACATTCTGTCGTAGTGGATGTGTGTGTCTTGTCGTACCACGCCGCCGCAGTGGACTTTGGCATACTCCTCGCCCCGGATGTTTAAACGAATGCCCCGACACAAAATCTTCTTCTTCACAAACACCTTCACAACTCCAGAGAGAGTACTCCCAGGGATGTAAGCTGCCCCACCCCCGTGCAAAGTGAGTTCAACTTCCACCCTGTCCCTGTTGAAGACACCCATCTCACAGCGTGAAGAGCTTTGGATGGCATACGCGTATAAAAAGGGAAAGAGGACACAGAAACAACAACAACAACAAAAAAGAATACAAGGACAAAAACACGTCCTACACGGAGCACACAGAATGTGACACTCAACATCACAGGACACCTCAAAAGCTCTACTCTCCTCTTCCCCCCCTTCTTCTTCCGTTGTTTTTTTTTCTGTTTTTTTAGTAAACACCAGAGCGTTTATACGCATAACGTTATAACTAAAGAATTTAACTGCGGCAGTTGTTCCCCAACAGAGACACACACACACACACACACGCAGGAATGCAGTGGGATAATTGCCACCTTATCCTTCATCAGTGCTTCTTTGACCCACCGTTGCTCTTGTTACCGTCTTCCTTCTTTCCACGTGTTTTACGAATCGGTTCCTCACCGTTTTCAATCGCCTCCACGACACGTTTTCGCTCCTTCCTGACTTTCTCCTCACGACCCACACGCAGCCGATCTGCGTCCATCAACAGTGCCGCATTCCGTGCTGCCGTTTTAAACGTCTGGCCGTACTCTTCACGTGTGCGCTGGAGTTGCTTCCCCATCTTACTCCGTAAGTCAACACCGTCAATATGGCATTCCTTAACCCCCTCAGGGACTTTTGTGCGAGCAGAATTTGCATTGTCCCGCGTGGCGAGCAGAATCTCGTTAATCGGCCCTATGGGCGTGTTGTCATCGTTCAGCAGCCAATAAACACCATCCATCGACGGTGCGGCACTGATAAGATGCCAACTTTTCGTCTCATGCTCCCCGTCGCTACGTTGATTGGAGACGACACAAATCCGTTGCTCCTCTACGGACAGTTGAAGCATGTCGGCTGGGACATTCGGGGCATCACAATTCACAAACTTCACCAGCTTCATTGTCCTTGATGGTACACGCTACAATATTATTATTAGTTTCGCCCCCTTGCCCTTTCGGAGCCACACGCTCTCTCCCCTTTTTGTCTTCCCTTCCTCTCGGGTATTCTCCCCTCACGCACACTGTGGGAAGCAAAAACCTCTCCCCGTTGCCGTGCATTCACACACAAAACAAAATAAAACAAAAAAAAAAACGGGGAAATTATGGACGGAGGCATCTAAACAGGTGCCAAAAACACTCATTGCAGTCATTACTGGACATCATTCCTTCCAGAACAGCAGCAGAAAAACGCAACTTCTTTTTTTTTTTCTCTTTTTTCATCAAGAACGTCCCACAACACCGCCACGTTGTGTTGGGAAGAGGTGTAATAAATAGTCTTCACCGTCTCTTTGTCTTCGTCTCAGGTTGGCGGATGAAAAAAACAACGCAAACGTCGCCTACATTTTCTCATTTCTTAAAAGGAAGTAAAAACAAAAAGAAAAATTGGCAGCAGTGCCACACACCGGCATGCAAACCGGCGAAACAGTTACAGACACATGAACGGAGATCGGACAACATGGACCGAAACAAAGAAATACGCCGGCGGGGTTATTTCTGGTCACGCCGTGCATCATTTTCTTCGTTTTGTATAATGAAAAGAGCAAAAAAAAAAAAAGAAAGAAATGACGCATGTCGTCCAGTGTAGGAAACACAGAAAACAAAAACAAAAACAAAGTCCGTGGGATTTCAGTGTTTTGACTCCATTGATTTTCCTTCGAGTGCGCCGTGTACCCAAAATGCCACGCACACATTCATTCATCAACGTTGCACTGCCGCCAATTCCACGGCGACAGAGGAACAGACCGCCAAGAAAGCGCACGTCGCCCGCCGACGACAGCCCGATGGGAACAACGCCGGTCGAATTTCGGTTTTCAGGACGTGGGTTTCAGTGCCACAGAAATGACGGAATGACCCGCCTCCGCACGGCATGCCACGTCACGGGCATCGACCGGCCGAAGTGGATTGTGCAATGAGACAAGTCCACATCTACTCCGCTGCCCGGTCCTGCAAACATCTAAACAAAATGGTGTGGAAACTGTAGAAGTGGAAAATCTATGCTTCAACAACAAGTTAGCGCAGTTTCTCCTCGAGTTGGAAAGGCTCTGCAAACAACAGTGCCTCCGCGCGGCGAGAAGGTACGAGGCCTTTTGCAGGTGCGGCGCACAGTAGATGCTCGTGGCATGTGTCCCCCTGTTTTTCTCATTTATAGAGCAAATGGTTCATTGATTTCTTATTGTGCCGTTTCTCGACAGCAGCGGATGATTGAGCTGCTGTGCTAGCCCGAAACGGATGCGCAGCGGGGTTGTGTGTTTCGTGCCCTCCACTACCTCTCCCTCTGCGTGGATCGGACGTACTTTGCGATGGTGACAGGCGTGCGGACTATTAAATTTATTTAAGAAGACATGAGGAATAATAATAAAAAGAAAGAAAAACTTATGTAAATATAACAACAGCGTCAGAAGAACAAGTTACTTTTCCACCCAGTCACTCCCAATCAGAGGGTACTCTTCCCTTCTTCTTTTTTATTTTTATTTTGCGTTCATCATATACTTGCACTCACTGCAGCAGACTTATTTTCCAAAACCATAAGTTATTCCATTTTTATTTTTTCTTTGCCCTTTTTTGCGGAAATATAATCATATAACTCTCATCCCTCCATCCTTCCAGTCAACACAAGCAGAATATGACTATATAAATGTACGAGGGGGGGGGGGGTAATCTGTTATTCTACACAGTAGTCAGATGTCTTACTTCTAATATTATTCACGTGGGTGTGTCGGTGTACATCATGTCACTCTCATCCTCCCATCTTCCCTCACTTCAATTTACTTCCTCCCCTTATCGGTGCATCAATAAAAAGTGGAAAAGGGCAAAAGAATAAAATGGGGCTTCTACACATTAATTCGTTCCTTTGGCACGGACTGTGAACCGCACCCAGGCACCAATACACATAACTGTTAACTCAAAATATAGGCTTTTGACGCCTCTGCTATTTTACCACTCCCTCACTTTCCTCACATGGATTCACCCTATCCCTTTTCCTTTTCGCACACTCCACCATTCCAAGGAGGACGCCCCTCAAAAATAAATTTTTTTTTTTTTTCTTCGTTTTTAAATCGTTTCATTCTTCCTTGTTGGTTTTCATCGCTATTCCACTTTATCAGTCCATCACCGCAGAAACACACGTATGCAATATATAAAGAAATGAGACATAACGTCGCCCTTTTCGGAAGAAAAAAAAAAAAAAAAAAAAAAACGAAACAAAAAAACGATAAACGCACCGCCACCGTCGCCAAATCCTCGTGGAGGCAGCAGTACACTCGTAGCGCAGTAGCAAGACCAAACAAAGAGAGAAAGAAGGGGAGGGGGATGTCGAACAAAAAAAAAAAAAAAGAAAAAAGAGACGCACGCAAAAAAAGTTGAAGAAAACAAAAACAAAAACAAAACAAAAAAAAGCACTAATACTTCTTTTTAAAAAAATTGCTTTTTTTTTTTTTTTTCTCCGCCAACAAAACCACCACCACAAAGAAAAGAAAAAGGGGTAAAAGAAAAAAAAAGAAAATTTTTTGTTTTAACTCTCCCAACCGTGGAAGAGATTTGAGAGACATGCACGTATACTTGAAGTCTACATATATACATGTACACGAACGGGGGGGGGGGGGGGGGGGGGAAAGCTGATAAAATAAACTATAGGAAATAAAGAGGATAAATAAGGAAAAAACATGCAAATGCGGTATGTAACGTCGGGGACCATGTGTATATCTACACCTATATCTATATATAGATGTACGCAAGCATCTCCCGCTCCTTCTTCTTCTTTTTTTTTTTTCAATGTATTTTACCCGCGGTTCAATTTATTGTCCCCTCGCCCTCGCCTGGACCTCGAAAATATCATCACAACCCACCGCATTCTTACGAGGCCAAGCAACCTCGTCTTTTGCACGCATTGCCTTCACCACGTTGTTTTCTTCCCTTTTGTTG